GGGGGGAGAAAGGGAATCAAGGGAGTTGGCAAGAAAAAACGCCAACAAACCAAACAACTAGCGAAACAGAAACTAAGATCTTGGATTTGGACTGCGGCATGGAGGAGGGGAGGTGTTCCACTAGCCGAGGGGCCCCCATAGAGGTCGTGGTGGGGAGGGGGAGATGCGGAAAAAGGAGACCTCAAATTCGGCCTAATTCGGACCGCTTATCTACATTAATAATCCCAAACCGGTCTCCTAAGGTAAATTGGTGTAACCAGGTTGGCGGGCCCTCCGGATTGAAGGTGGTGCTGCTGAACGCCAGATCTGTCAACGGAAAAACGACCTTTATCCAGGATTTAATCCTGGATGAGCGGGCAGATCTGGCGTGCATTACGGAGACCTGGCTGGATGAAGCTGGGGGTGTGAATCTCACCCAGCTTTGTCCTCCAGGCTTCTCCGTACAGCACCAACCGAGATCCGGAGGACGGGGAGGCGGGGTTGCAGTGGTCTATAGAGATTCCATCCATCTGACCAGGAGCCCCATCCCGCAGACCACAAATTTTGAATGCGTCCACCTGAGGGTGGGTGACCGGGACAGAATAGGGATTCTGCTAGTGTACCGTCCACCTCGCTGCACTACAGTCTCCCTACCTGAGCTAGCGGGGGTAGTCTCGAGCCTGGCGTTGGAGTCTCAACGGCTTCTCGTGCTGGGAGACTTCAATATCCATGCCGAGGCGACCCTCACAGGAGCAGCTCAGGACTTCATGTCTGCCATGGCAACCATGGGGCTGTCCCAACAAATATCTGGTGGTGGACATGAAGTCCTGAGCTGCTCCTGTGAGGGTCGCCTCGGCATGGATGTTGAAGTCCCCCAGCACAAAAAGCCGTTGAGACTCCAACGCCAGGCTCGAGACCACCCCCGCTAGCTCAGGTAGGGAGACTGTAGTGCAGCGAGGTGGACGGTACACTAACAGAATCCCTATTCTGTCCCGGTCACCCACCCTCAGGTGGACATTCAAAATTTGTGGTCTGCGGGATGGGGCTCCTGGTCAGATGGATGGAATCTCTATAGACCACTGCAACCCCGCCTCCCCGTCGGATCTCGGTTGGTGCTGTACGGAGAAGCCTGGAGGACAAAGCTGGGTCAGATTCACCCCCCCAGCTTCATCCAACCAGGTCTCCGTAATGCACGCCAGATCTGCCCGCTCATCCAGGATTAAATCCTGGATAAAGGTCGTTTTTCCGTTGACAGATCTGGCGTTCAACAGCACCACCTTCAATCCGGAGGGCCCGCCAACCTGGTTACACCAATTTACCTTAGGAGACCGGTTTGGGATTATTAATGTAGATAAGCGGTCCGAATTAGGCCGAATTTGAGGTCTCCTTTTTCCGCATCTCCCCCTCCCCACCACGACCTCTATGGGGGCCCCTCGGCTAGTGGAACACCTCCCCTCCTCCATGCCGCAGTCCAAATCCAAAGTCTTAGTTTCTGTTTCGCTAGTTGTTTGGTTTGTTGGCGTTTTTTCTTGCCAACTCCCTTGATTCCCTTTCTCCCCCCTCCCCCACCTCATTGTTGTCCACAGACTCCAGCCCACTTCCTCCCTTGCCCCTTCCACTAGTCACTAGTATCAAGGACAATACAAATAGGGGAATGGGGGACCACATGGGTAATAATAGTACACTTCAGTGAGATTGATAGTAATAAAGTGTAGTAAACGTCTCGGCTGTGGCAGTTAGATAGTTCATAAAGTGCAAGAGTCTTAGAGTGCAAATACAGTAGGCGTCACAGTTGCGTGCCACTAGGGCAACTCATAAAGTGCAAGGATCTTAAAGTGCAGCAACATCCAAGTCTGGCTCTGACGCTATCTAAAGTGCGGCATGGAGGGAAAGGGAGAGGGAACGTAAATGCTAGTTCGATTTGGCAGCAGGAGAGGCAGGCGCCTTAAAGTGCTATACTGAGTTCTTAGTACCAGTTAGCAACAGAGTAGACAAGGAACAATAAAGTGTTATATTAAGCAAGATGTAAACACAGCATTAACGAGTTGGCAATAATATCCGTTGGTAGAGTTGTTGTGATTCAGGATGTAGTCTATAGACGGCTGATGTAAAACAGCGAATGAGTCTCTCAGTCTTCCGGAGATGGTCAACACGGCAGTGGTCAGCACAAGTTGGTCTACACCCAGCTTGGGTTGCACGATCAGGCAGCACAAAATCGGTCAACACAGAATATCGGTCAACACAGAAACATATCGGTCAACACAGAAAAGGTCAGCACAAGAGGACTGCACACGGCTTGCCCCGTTGGTAAAGGCCCAGATGGTAAAGGGTGGTAAAGGCCTAGGGCCCGGTTCAAGCAGCTCTCGCCGCACGGCAGCCCGCAGCCCAGGCAGTGGAGGCCCAGGGACTGGTACAGGCCCAGGTGGAGATGGTCCAGGTGGAGATGGTCAAAATGATAAGAATCAACCAGAGCTTTGGAGTTGGGTGCCATCTCTATGCAGATGACACACAACTCTACTATTTTCCATTTCATTCTAAGGAATGAACTGGATCCTGGACCAGTGTCTGGCCACTGTGATGGACTGGATGAGGGCCAACAAGCTGATGCGTCAGCTGTGACCATACCGCGAAAAGCCTGACTTGGCCATGGTGGTCCACACTTTAGTTACGTCCAGAATGGACTACTGTACTCTACATGGAGCTGCCTCTGAAGATGGCTTGTAAGCAGCAGCTAGTTCAAAGATCAGCAGCCAGGTTGCTAACTGGGACTAACTTCAAGGAGCATAATACTCCCCTATTAAAGCAGCTCCACTGGCTTCCGACTAGTTTCCTTGCCCAACTCAAAGTGCAAGTTATTACCTATAAAGCCTTATACGCTTCGGGTCCAAACTATTTTCGAGACCGCATCTCCTATGAGCCAACGTAAGCAATGAGATCTTTCAGGGAGGCCCTTCTCTCAGTCCCACCACTGTCTCAAGTATGGTTGGTTGGGACGAGGGAGGGGGCGTACATAGTAGTGGCCCCCCGGCTCTGGAATGCCCTCCCTAGAGATATTAGGTTAGCCCCCTTGCTCCAAACCATTCGATCCAGTTTAAAAACATGGCTCTTCAAACAAGCCTTTGATCTCAAGTAGATTTTGAAGCACAGTCTGATGATTTACTGTTGCCGTTGCTTCAGCACTGGATGTGTGAATTTAAAACAACCTGTTTTTATCCACAGCTATGACTGCGTTATATGAATTTTAATGTTTTATTGTGTAGTTGCAGGCGTGTGCAATTGTTATTTCATTGTTTTTAGGTCTATGTGTTATTTATGTGTGGCATTTTGCTTTGCTAGCCACCTCGAATCCATTCAGGGAGGTGGTGGCGGGGTACAAATAAAAATGTATTATTATTAAAACATGCCCTAGTCGTCGACGTCTTCTCCTTCGCCTTCTTCCATATTTCTAAAACCACAGCAGCCCCTGACCACAGCAGCCCCTTAAAAACCTCCTTCTTTAAAAGCCTGTCTGAATGGAAAGGTTTTAGTCTGCTGTTGGAGGATAACAAGGAGGGGGGCACATTCTAGCTTCATTAGAAAGAGAGTTCCTGAATCCTAGTTACGTTGTAATTATAGAAACACATTCTTGCTTGTTACAAGTTGGCTTTGGTTTCCAAAACTACAGTCTAGACCAGTGGTCCTCAACCTGTGGGTCCTCAGGTGTTTTGGCCTACAACTCCCAGAAATTCCAGCCAGTTTACCAGCTGTTAGGATTTCTGGGAGTTGAAGGCCAAAACATCTGAGGACCCACTAGTAGAGAAGCACTGGTCTAGACTCTCCACGCCTTCATTCTCATAGTCTTGTCCTCATGTTTAGAATGGCAGTAAAATGTTACTTGCCTTCTGCAAGACTTCATTTGGTCTGTTGTTTTCTTTTGTAGGCAGTTAAACAGCTGCTGGAGCTCCCGCTCAACCTTGCTGTTGTATCTCCGGCTCATACCCCAAACTGGGATCTTGTCAGCGATGTGGTGAACTCCTGCAGTCGAGTTTATCGTTCTCCAAAACAGTGCCGCAACCGCTATGAAAATGTCGTCATTCCAAGGGAGGAAGGGAAGGTGGGTGTAACCCGAAACACGCATTTTCTTGCACACTCTTTGGGGTGTCAGCAACATAAGCTAGCTGTAAAAAAATCTTCGTGGTTTGTTTTTTTTTTTTTTGCCTTTTAAATTGTTTTATGTGGCACTCTTTTTTATTTTATTTTTTTGAATGGTCAGGGTGCTTTAGATTTTTCCCAACGGCCCTGTGAGACAGGTCACTACTATGCTCATTTTATTGATGGGGAGTTGAGACTGAGACATGACAGTTTGTCCAAGGCCTCCCGGCATGCTTTCCCCCTCCTTTTTTGTTTTTTGTTTTTTGGTTGATCATGGGTGTGGCCCCTGATCTCCCAGGCCTTAAGCCCCACCCTCTGTCCACTGTACCACACTGGCGCTAATAGAGACTTTCTATTCATGTCACTAATCTATCCCCATGCCATCACAGAAAGTCAAACTTTGCTTCTTATTTTACAGCTTATGTATGAAGCGAACCCTAAGAAGAAGACAAAAAGCATTTATAAGGTGTGCACTTATAAATTGTTGTTCCAATGCAGACAGTCTGGTATCTTAAGCATCAGCAGAGGTGGACACAAGATGAAGTAGGAGATGTATTTTAGTCCCAATTTGAACCCTAAACTGGCCATTTAAAGCCTTTGCATCTATTCCGCATTGACGCAATAGATTGCGGCACCAGGCGGCCTTTGTCTCAAAGATATGCATTAAAGAGCGATTTCGCACACTAAGCCACATTAGTCAGCTTCGGTTCTTTTTTCAAAAGTGTTTTGTCCACCTCCCAGAAATGCCACCTCATTCCGCATGATTATTACAATTAGTAGCTTTTTTGATTTAAAATGTTTTATCACTAGCCTTTTTTACTTTTCATTTTGAAATCTGATTGCTTTGCAGACATTTAATGAATTAATTCCTGCAACGCCCCATCAGGTAATGTATCACCCCCAGTTAATAGCTGCAGAAACATAGTTGCACAATAGTTGTCGTTGTAATAGTGTTAGTCAGAAATATAAATGACTCTGGAAATCAGACTTTTGATGCGTCAGTTAGGTAACATGGATAAAATACTTTTCGTCTCAAGGTCAACTTTCTGCTAAGCTAAAAGGTTGGGGGTGGATAGGGGATTTGCCAATTAGCATACCCTAAAGCCATGGTTCTCAACCTGTGGGTTGCCAAGTGTTTTGGCCTACAACTCCCAGAAGTCCCAGCCAGTTTACCAGCTGTTAGGGTTACTGGGAGTTGAAGGCCAAAACCTTTGGGGACCTACAGGTTGAGAACCACTGCCCTAAAGGCACTAGATCCCAACGGATCTTGGAAGTTAATCAGGGTCAGGTGCTGTAGGCTCTGTTTCAGAGGATAGAGCTGACAAAGCCACCTCTAAGTATTCCTTGCCCCAGAAAGACCTATGAAATTCATGGAGTCACCTAAGTTGGCAAGTGACTTGATGGCACATGCACATTACATTCTTCATCACAATTTTTAAGGAGACAGGGACAGTGTAAGTAAGTAATATTAAGTTGTGAGCTCTTCTGTGCATCTGGTGAATTGTCATGGTGAGCACCTGGTCATGTGGTATTGTCGACAGTTCAGTGACTGAATGGTCTGCAACTGGAAGCCCCATGTTAATTTCCCTGAGTCTTCCAAGGAGGAACAATATTAAATAAGTAAAATAGATACATAAATAGAACTATCGTTATATGGCTTATGTACTCTCATACTACAGCATGGTTAGTTAAGCAGAAGGTATTGTGGCCTTTGGCTGATGATTGCTTTGGTTGCTCTGTCCTAGGTCTATGCAGTTTTCAGGCTCAATAGGTAAATGTGTAGTGTTACTGGGGTAGAAGAAGTATCTTCTCTTCCATTGGTAACTAATGGACTATAGGAAATGGTGAAGCACATAACTATTCCACCAGTGGTGCCATTTGACTGGCCGGTCAGATGTTCCCAGCTGTACCTACTCCACAGACTAGCAGGGTAACAAGGAGTGTTCTTCAGCTCATCATGCCGAGTCTTCTGAGCAAGAAAAGAGGGTTGCTGTGGGAATGGGTGAGAAGGTGGGAAGTGAATAATAACATTAATTTTGAAGGCAGCCCAAAGGTCCAGGAAAGAGGACACAGAATTGTTTGAGTCTTTTAGAAAACAAAAGGAGTTGTTTCATTTTGAAGGATATAGGTGGATAGTATTTTGAAAGTGTTCGTAATGTTCAGATACCTGTTTTTATGATTGTGTAAAATTTCAGTTTAATATGTTCACATTTAAATGGCCTGTACTGGCACTCACATGGTTTTGCAGATCTGATGTTCCCATTTTCTTAGCCTTAGCTATGAGATTGAGAGCAAGCTACCATACCCCTTTATCTGTCTGCCTGTTTCCTATGTGAACCTCCCCGGCCATTTCATAGCTCTAACCATAGCACAGCATTAATAGGTGGGTTCTTCAAAAAGTTTCCACACTTTTTTAAACTTTTAAAACTCTATTTATTAAGAATTTCAAAATTGCATCACTTTTCTACATAATCACCTTCCTTTGCAATGCATTTTCCCAGTGTCGTGCCAACTTTTTAATGCCATCTACAAAAATAAAATAATTGATAGCCACTGATGCACTGCTGCTTTCACATCATTTGCTTGCTTGCTTGGACTTTTGCTTCTCTGTCAGTTGCTTAGCCCCCCACCTGACACACAATTGATTGAACTTAAGGCTGTCATGGATCAGGGCAAAGGCAGATCCAGTCCTCACATTTGACTTCCCTGCAACCTCTTCAACTGTTAGTCTTCTGTTTTCGCGAATCAGTTCCAATTTTCTTTTTTTGTCCCTCATGACTGTAGCTGGTTGTCCAGAATGCTCTGCATCCATCACATTGGCACTGCCATTTCCAAACATTTCAATCCACTTGTAGATAACTCTGAGAAAGAACTTTACCCCATACTGAGCACACCTGCAGAGATGGATTTGTGCACAGCTTCTGCCTACAAAAAGCATATGACTAAACAATTCATACGTTTCGCAGCCATCTTCACCAAAGCGTGGCAACTCTTGTACTGAACTGCAAGGCCAGCCGTCTTGCCAGACAGACTGGTCACAGGACACTCTCAGACATAACTAAATACTACTACTCCCACCCTCACTGTTTCTAATAAAATGATAAAAGTGCAGAAACTTTTTGAAAACCCCTCCTTTGTTAGTGCTAACCACAGTTAAAGTTTTCACATGTCCTTCAGTTTGTTTACAAATGCTGGATGGGAGCTAGCGTACCATTAATTCATTGGTTCTGATACTCATTAGTTAGGTCTGAATAGCAGAAGATGATAGACATGCAAGTTACAGCCAGAGCATGCAGGTTCATGGCTTACAATGCCTATCAAACATAAGAACGGTAGCTTATATTTAAATATATGGGCTTAATTTTGTGTATTGAAACTCTCACATAGGTAGGCATACAGACAGATGTGTCATTTTGCTTTTAATTACTATGCATAAAACTATTGTTTTGTTCACATTTAGACTAAGAACAGTCGTCCACTTCGAACCAATCAGCTCTATGCCCAAGATGAGGGTGCAACACATACCCAGCTCTATACTAATCATTTTGAAATTATGAAAATGATTGCTGGGAAGAGAAGTCCACCCATCAAACCCTTGTAAGTCCGTAGTGGAGATTCCTGTTCAAACTAGTGAAATAAAAACATTGGGGGTTAAGAACTGTGTGAGGCTGCCACTGAAAAGGCTTATATCTCTTCTCGGAACTGTGTTTTGGGTACATTTGCTTTACAACAATGTCCTTTTTGGCTGTATTTCAGACTTGGTATGAATCCTTTTCAGAAGAATCCAAAGCACACCTCGGTACTTGCTGAAAGGTAAGATATTATTCATAGGCAGGTGATACTGAAGTCAGAATAACATTCAAATAGAGAAGAAATGAGAATTTGTTTTTCAAAAGAATATATTGGGCAGAATTCAGGTAAAGAAAAGCACTCATTGTTGATTACCAGTTTGTATTTGATTTTTTTTTCGAGTTGATGCCAGTGGAGCCTTAACTTTAGGCTGGATTGTCACTTTTTTCTTCTTTCTTTTTTCTAGTGGTATCAATTATGATAAGCCACTCCCTCCAATTCAAGTGGCCTCTCTCCGAGCAGAGCGCATTGCAAAGGAGAAGAAGGTATGTACTTTTGAGGAAGAGATTGAGAGAGAGATCAATTGATTTGAATGACTGGGCCAAAAGTGATTCAGGAATAGTGGTGTAGCGATACATTTTGAAGAGTAGACTCTTATGATGATGATGATGATGATTCTCCATAGCCACACCCCAGGACTCCAGCAATACAGGCAGGTGTGGTGATCCATACTAACATACTGACTGTATCAGTATTCATCTTTGCCATATTCAAATAATAATAATAATAATAATAATAATAATAATAATAATAATAATAATAATAATATAGAGCTGGATGATCTGGATGACAATCCACTACTCATTACACCTGCGTAGTGATGTCGACAGACTTTACCTGCTCAGAAAATCAGGAGGCAGAGGGCTTCTGCAAGTGAAACAAACTGTAGAAGAAGAGAAATATGCACTGGCAGATTATGTGAAAGGCAGTCAAGAACCAACATTGAAGGTAACCAATAGTAGTAAACTCCTTAAAGTGCAAAAGACAAAGACAGTTCCTGGGAAAAATTGAGAGCCAAATTGACAAAGAAAAAACATGGATGTAGCTCACAAATGGAACTTTGAAAAAAGAGACGGAGGGCCTGATTCTGGCAGCTCAAGAACAAGCCATTAGAACCAATGCCATCAAAGCCAGAGTTGAAAAGTTGACAACAGATCCCAAATGTAGATTCTGCAAGGAAGCAGATGAAACAATAGATCAGATCCTCAGCTGCTGCAGGAAGATCATGCAGACAGACTACAAGCAGAGGCATAACACCGTTGCTCAGATGATTCATTGGAACTTGTGCCACAAATACCATCTGCTTGTGACAAAGAACTGGTGGGATCACAAGCCAGAAAAAGTTACAGAGAATGAACACGTCAAGCTACTCTGGGACAGAGTTTTGGAGCACAACACTCCTGACCTCATGATCATGTTAAAACACAAAGTATGGATTGTCGATGTTGCAATCCCAGATGACAGCAGGATTGAAGAGAAGCAACTAGAAAAGCTAACACGATATGAGGATTTAAAGATTGATCTGCAAAAACTCTGGCACAAGCCAGTCAAGGTGGTCCTAGTGGTGATCTGCACACTGGGTGCAGTGCCTAAAGACCTTGGCCTGCACTTAAAACACAATCGCCGCTGATAAGATTACCTTCTGTCAGCTGCAGAAGGCCACCTTACTGGGATCTGCACGCATTATTCGCCAATACATCACATAGTCCTAGACACTTGGGAAGTGTCCGACGTGTGTTCCACTACAACAGCCAGCAGAGTGTTTGCTGTGGACTCATCTGGTTGTGTTTCAAATAATAATAATAGTTTTATGTCTTACCTCCTCGAAGCTCACATAAAAGCTCACATGAGTTAAAACATACATCAGTAAAACCAGAAACAATTAATGTGTTGTCGAAGGCTTTCATGGCCAGAATCACTGGGATGCTGTGAGTTTTCCGGGCTGTATGGCCATGTCCCAGAAGCATTCTCTCCTGATGTTTCACCCACATCTATGGCAGGCATCCTCAGAGGTTGAGGGGTCAGTATGTTAAATGTATTACATTTTAAAAATACAATATAGCATCATAGACTCACAGAGTTGGAAGACACTACAGGGGCCATCAGGTTCTACACCCTTCTGCCATATAGAAGAAACTAATTGAAAAGTTCTGGCACTTTGACTCCGTAAGCCTTGGCTTAACTGGAGAGAAATTGAATCCAATCATCGTTGGCAAGAAATTAATGTAATGTGGTGCACTTTGAATTTGAAGTGTGCGGTTTACCTGCTTCTTGACAGGGGCTTGGACTGCATGGCCCACGAGGTCTCTTCCAACTCTATGATTCTATGTGTTACAGAAATTGTCAAAATCCATTGTAACAGTTGATTATTACAGTCCCTTCTGGATTAATTTCATTTGTGGAATGTGTACCTTGTTGCCATCAGTTGTCTTCTTCTCATAAGCAGTGTGGTCTAGAAAGTGATACATCCTCTCATTCCCTAGGCTTTGGCTGAACAGCAGCGGGCCCAACAACAAGCAGGGCCACAGCAGCAACAGCAGGCAGGCCAGCAGCAAGTGCAGCAAGTGGCAGTTCAGCAAGCCCAGTCTCAGCCCCAAGGTCAAGTTCAAGTTGTCCAACAGCCCCAGGCTGTGGTACAGACCGCTGTCACCACTGTGGCAAACACTACGGTACTGGTAAGATATAATAACAGAATATATGCTGTATTTTAATCTGTTGTTCCTCATCTTGTCAATAATAATAATAATAATAATTCAGTTGTATCTTGCCACCATTTCCCCTAAGGGACTCAAAGCAGCTTACACACAATAACAATGCAGACAATAAACAAAATCATTACATATCAGAAACAGATTAAATCGGCAAACAACACTCATCAATAAAAACAACGAATCAATATAAGAACAGCAACATATCAAATTAACAGAAGCCATCCTTCATAAAGAGTAAACAGACTGGTTACACATGCCCTATATGAATCAGTGTGTTGTGCCTTTAAATGGAATAAAGTTAAAATCTATTTACCTTTGAAGCTTGTGTTTCTAGTTTTTACAGAGTCCATATTTTACAGGCAGTTGTGATTGTATGACTTCATGAAACTGTGCACTAGCCACTTTGAAACATTTCTCTTTAATACAAATTTGTCTTTTGACCAGGCTGGCACAATGAAAAATTCAGCAACTGGGACAAGCATACAGACAGGTAAGGCATCCCTGGCAGGATCCCATAAAGCACTGTGAGTGCTGATCTTTGTTATGGATCCCAGAGTGATCTTGGCTTTGTTTTCAGCCACCGTGACTGGAAATGTTATTGTGAACACCGTGGCTGGAGTTCCAGCAACCACTTTTCAGCCGATCAACAAACGCCTGGCTTCACCTGTTATACCTGGAGCACTGGCGGTGAGTGCCTTCATGTGTTTCACTGTGGATGTTACATTGGGATAGGAAAAAAGAAACCTGAAACTCTGATTATTATTATTGAAAGGGGTGGGATGGTTCAGCCCCAAACAGCTCTATTTGTGTTTGTTTGTTTTTTAAACTGGCTTAACTCAGAGGAAGGAGGAGGAAAGATCCCCCTTTCTCTGAAGGCAAGGCAGTTTAGAAAATCTGAAATGGATCTCCCAACAAAGGATTTCCCCCAGGCAGGAATCAGCCAGGCTTTGAAGCTGCAAGACCCTTCAATGCTAATCAAGCTAGCCAATGTCAACATTCACACTTACCTCAAACAGACAGATCTTTCTCCCACCCTGGACATTCCACAGATATATAAACCACTTGCCTAGTTTCCAACAAACCTCACAACCTCTGAGGATGCCTGCCATAGATGTGGGCGAAACATCAGGATATATTGCTTCTGGAACATGGCCAGACAACCCAGAAAACTCACAGCAACCCACTGATTCTGGCCATGAAAGCCTTCAATAACACATTACTCATGTTTGGTTTGGCTGAAACCATGGATTGCCTAGAGGTCTGAATCAAACCATTTTGAGAAGGATCTTTCAGGTTGAAAGCTGAATGGATTTTTCATTTTTCCCTCTCCTTCTAGACATCAGGAGGGACTGCTGCAGCTCAGGTGGTCCATACCCAACAGAGAGCGGCCACAGTGCCTGCTGCATCTGCAGAACTGGTGACTATTGCATCTACTCCAGGGGCTCGAGCTGCAACATCTGTGACAGCATCAGCTGTTGTCACCACCAACCTAACCCCAGTCCAGACCCAAGCTAGATCTTTGGTCACACAGGTCACACCAGGTAATGGGTTTTGAAGTACATAGTTTAAATTTTGAATTTGACACCTTTTTAGCCACTTTCATCTCTTGCAGCATGACAAAGAGGAAGGAAGGAGGGGAAAATAAATATGGAAGTAGCAAGTATGCTTTGATGTTATCTCTAGATGCATGGAGAGGTGCATGGAAGAAAAGTGGGCTCATAATTATTGAGATTACAGTAGGCTGTGTGAGAAAGACTTTAAATCTTTTCTCTCCTCTTTATGTCAGGAGAATATTCTTCATTGGCTCCAATCCTTACATGCCTGTTGTAGTCCTGATCATTTTCAGATGTTTACAGATATTGTGTCTCCTTTGTGTCTAACTCTGAAGGGCTTGAGGACTGGAAGAAAAGGGGGATGAAAAGAAGCATCTGAATCTATGTTTGGAAAAGTGCTAGAGTTTTATTTTGATTTTTTTTCTTGGCGGAAAATTTCTAGCAGCTCCAGCCGGTGTACAACTTTCAGGGAAGACAATCAGCCCAGCTCACTTTCAGCTCCTGAGGCAACAGCAACAGGCAGCAGGTCAAGTCCCCCAAATTCAGGCCCAGGCCCAAGCCCAGGCCCCTGCCCAGATTAAAGCTGTAGGCAAATTATCCCAGGTAAGAAAGATGCACCTTGGTTCTTATATATCTTTGGGCCCTGGAACTTGTGATCCTCTTTATGTTGTTGAAATATAGTTCACATCAACACCAGTAATGCTTATCAGGGGTAAACTAGAGTGAAGAGGGGAAGCCAGGAAGACAGTTCCACCATGTCTCCTGTGTCATCAGTTGAGAGCCCCTCCCCCAGCACCAACTGCCGCTTTGGGGCCAGAGTGAAGAGGGGAAGCCAGGAAGACAGTTCCACCCTGTCTCCTGTGACAATATAGTACTATATAATACTAATATTGTGCTATCCCAATAATACAATATATTGCATGTACATATAATATTGATAATAATAGTATAATGTAATACAACATACTAATAACAATACAATATAATAATATTAATTATATATTACATGTAATATTACTAATGATATTACAGTATAGTGTTATTTATTTATTTAATCATTTGCTGTGTTTGTATACCGCCTATCTCAGCCCATAGGCGACTCAAGGCGGTTAACAGGGTAAAATTCAATGCTTACAATATCATAAATGTAATTAAAAACATAACATATAATAAAAACTAAACAAATCAATCTATATAAAAATGCTCTGTGCATAATGAGTCCCTTAAAAACAAAAAAAACCAATGAAGGAAATCACACCAAATTTGGCAACAATACATCTCACAACACAAGGAGTGATCATCACTCAAAAAATATGATTTTGTCATTTGGGAGTTGTAGTTGCTGGGATTTATAGTTCACCTACAGTCAAAGAGTATTCTGAACTTCATCAACGATGGAATTGAACCAAAATTTGCACACAGAGCTCCCATGACCAACAGAAAATACTGGAAGGGTTTGGTGGGCATTGACCTTGAGCTTGGGAGTTGTAGTTCACTTACATCCAGAGAGCACTGTGGACTCAAACAATGATGGATCTGGACCAAACTTGGCACAAGCACTCAATACGCCTAAATATGAACACAGATGGAGTTTGGGGGAAATAGACCTTGACATTTGGGAGTTGTAGTTACTGGGATTTATGGTTCAGCTACAATCAAAGAGTGTTCTGAACCCCACCAATGACAGAATTGGGCCAAACCTCCCACACAGAACCCCCATGACCAACAGAAAACACTCAAGGCCATCCAGTACTCAGCCCCCAGGATTCCATAGCATTGAGCCATAGCAGTTAAAGTGGTGTCAAACAGCATTCATTCTATAGCATAAATACACCCTAAGGAAAATGAGGCAGGATGAACACAGACTCCTTGAGGGAAGGTTAGCTATTTCTCTGGTTTCACACCCAATGGCTGGAAGCTTTAGTGTTCTAACACTTTTATGTTTAAAGAAGGAATTCTAAGCATGCAGCAGCTGTAATGACCAAATTACCAAGAGTGCCTTTTTTGCAGCTGCAATGCTCCCCTCGCGTGCCAGCCATTAGTTCATGCCAGGCCTGTTCCGACTTACACACAAATTCAACTTAAGACTGATCCTGCAGAACATATTTTGTATGCAACACGGGGACTGCCTATACTAGTCATTGAATTGAAAGCCAATGAATTTACTCTATTTCATCACCTCATAGTCACACTTTTATCCCCTTTGTAACCCAATAAAGGGGTGTGTGACTATTACCTGATGAAAACAAAAATCTGCCTTTGGTTTCTTAAAAAAGAAAAGAAGCTGCCTTACCTCAGAGGAGAGGGGAGAGATGATCCAGCCTCAAACAAAAGGGCCTCATTTCCCATTTGGTTTTACTTGCCTTCCTTCAGAGAAAGGAAGAGGAAAGTTCCCCCTCCATTCCTTCTTTCTCTGAAGGCAAGGAAATTTACAAAATCTGAAATGGAGTTCTTTGGAGGAAGGAGGGAAGATCCAAGTTTCAGGGACTTCTGTTTCAGGTTTTTTTTTAACTGCTTTGCTTTGGAGAAAGGAGGGAAGAGCTCTAGAGACCTCAATTTCATAATTGCCTTGCCTTCAGAGAAGGGAGGGAAGGAAGGTTGGTTGAGCTCCAAACAGCTCTGTGACTATTATGTGAGGAACATGAAAATACAAATTCTGCCACCGACTCGTATGCGGTGGATACTATTACATGATGAAATACAGTATGTGTTGTGTTTCTCCTTTCTCAGGAGCAGCTAATCAAGTTGCAGAAGCAAAAGCTGCAGCTTCCTCAGCAGCAGGCTCCACAGCAGCAGGCCCAGTCAGGAGCCCAGCCACAAGCAGCTCAGGTCCAGGTGCAGCAGCAGCAGGCCCAGCTCTCGGCTGTTACAGCACCAAGACCAGGGGCAGTCCTCACTGGCACCACAGTCACCAACCTCCAAGTGGCTCGCCTCGTAAGTTTCCCTTTGTGCTTCAAGTGGAAGCTCTTGTGTCAGCATTAGAGATTTGCTCAGTTAGACTGGGGGTGTCACTGGTACAAGGATAGGGATGGTACAGCCCTTCCTAATGGTGGATGTCTGTTCACATCATCATCCTTTGTTTTGAAACGTAGGTGAAGTAGTTAAGTTTTTTATTGGTATACTCTCTTACAAGAGGGGTGCCCCAATCAAATTAGGCACACCCCAACAACAGAAAAGTCCAGTTCTGTTGAGACACTAGTCCCTCCTTGTTTCCCCATTGACTGGGCATGCCAAAGTTTACATGTATCTGAGGAACCTAATGAAATCCCACCTCTACTTACATCATGTATCACTTGGCACATGTTTTTTTCTATTACTGTTGGGTCAGCTTGACCAGAAACAGCTAGCTACATTCACTTTTTGTCAGTTTTGACTCTCTTCCATCTGTAGTTGACACAGTTTGGGCTTGGCTGTGCCCAGCGGTTCTAGCTACTGGTTCTTTTAGTTAATACATAGTTTGAGCTCACTCTTATTTTCTCAGTTGGTGTCCATGCATAGTGTTGAGCTCATCTTTAATTATTTCGAATTAGCAGTTTGCAGTAGCAACATATTCTTTGGACAGGTTGGATCTTAATTGATAGCAAACCAAAAAGCATAACTGATGATAAAGTAAAAAACCAAACAAAAAAGGCATATGTGTAAAAGCAACAGGCATATCTCACATCCTTCACCATTCACTATGCAGGCGGAGGCTCATGGGGGTCATAGTACAACAACCCCTGAAGGACTGCGTTCCCCACCTATGTAATAAGAGTATGATCTTTTTACATGTGGAAAACTTACTTGTTGAGCATAAAAAATAACTTTCTTCCTCTCCAGTTCCTCCTGTCATAACCCCCCCCCCCCCCAAAACCCGGCACCAGCAGCTGGTACTTGAATGTGGCGGTGTCAACTCATAGCATGTGTTGCGTCCTGTGTGCTTCCATTTTGAAAAAAAAAAAGCCTTATCCTCCAATGTTGGAAAGATAATATTCACTATTCATGGGCCAGTGGTCACATAATCTTGCTGCTTTAGCTGTGTATGAAGATACATTTTTGGAAATATGGTCAGCTAATCATCCTAGCTCTTGCCCATATCTTTTGCGGCCCCGTTTTTAAATCTCTCATTCTTTTCTGATTTGTTTCTTTATAATCGTGCTTTTTCAAAATCATATATCTTGTGGAGTAGTTAGTTTGAACTTCTATAAGTAAAACAGAAGTCCAAAACCAAAAAAGCCAAAATCCGAAAACCCGTCATCTCATGGATCAATGTTTAAAAAGATGGTTGGAGGCAGTTTCTTGAGCTCTAATGAGCTCTAATAAGGGTTTTCTGCACTCACAGTACAACCTTTCTAAATGCTCTTTGCTAGTTCTGAACAACTTATGAAAGGGAAAACTCGCCCATTTCCTTTTGCAATGGGCTGAAGAATTTTATCGGTGTGTTACATTATTACATGAAGAAGACAAATATTCACACATCTTATTTTTCTGCCTACTTGTCATTGAAAAAAACCCCGATCTTGCTAGTTTGAATGAAAGTTTTGTTTTGACTCTGTTCCGTTTGGAGATTCTTGGAGAACATTGGGCTTGCGATGGAAAAACGTGAGCTTCCCCGTAGCAGGTCTTTCTTATGCTTGTACAATAATCGCCAATCCCTTACTGCTTAGACTCGTGTTGCTGCTTCCCAGCTTCAAGCGCAAGGTCAGATCCAGGCCCAGGCCCCGCAAGCAGCCCAAGTGGCTTTGGCTAAGCCTCCAGTGGTGTCTGTTCCGGCTGCAGTGGTGTCATCAGCAGGTGTTACCACACTCCCTGTTACCGTTGCTGGGATTAGCGTCGCGATTGGGCAGCCACAGAAAGCAGCAGGTAGGTCATCCACTTCCGGAACATCAAGTTTGTGTAGGTAAGTTAGTAGGGGGCAATGAGGACAAAAAGACATCTGGGCAAAATTGGCTCTTTCACTTTGGGTTTTTTTCCCTCTAGTTTTGGGAGAATAATTTCTCTGTTCTTCAGAACTTAGAAAACATATTTTTGGACTGCACTTTCAAGCAGGGCTATTCGGGATTCTGGAACTTGGAGTCCAAAATGTTGCTTACTCAAGCTCTGTTGTACTGTGGTTATGACTGATGTTTTTGACATGGCTCTGAACAAATCAATTGTGCAGGGAATTGCAGAATGTGCGCCAAACAAATTCATCTTAATCTGTTACTGGGAACTGCTCTTGAACAGCAAGAGCAACGAGGACAATCCCAGTTTTGGCTGATATGAAACACTTTCCTGTTCTCCGCCTGCATCAAGGTTCAGCATTAGGTTGAGATATAAAGTTGTAAAGATTTTTATACCTTGCTCAATACAAAAGGTTACGTGCCACTCAGAACAATGTCCTAATTAATTATATCTGCTTTTCATCAGTCGGACCAAGGCATCGTCCCTCATTACAAGGCCATTCCTTCCCAAGAAGAAAAACAACCCTTCCCTTTAGGGCAGTGGTTCTCACCCTATGGGTCACCAGGTGTTTTGGCCTCCAACTCCCAGAAATCCCAGCCAGTTTACCAACTGTTAGGATTTCTCAGAGTTGAAGACCAAAACATCGGGGGACCAACAGGTTGAGAACCACTGCTTTAGAGTTTTTTAGGGGACACAGAAAGACAAGAGACAGTGGCTATAGAAAAAAAGGGCAACTGTTCACACCACCAGGGTTGCCTCCTCATGATAAAAATAGTTTTCCACAAATTTTCCCTACACAGGATGAATACAGATATACATCAGTTAAGAAAATAGGTATGTTCCTGGACATTAACAACATATTTGGTAAGAGAGTTCAAAATGACATGGAAGGAATAGATAAAGGTACTTGTACAGTGAAAAAAAGGAGCAGTTCGACATGGTTCAGCAATCTTTTCATTCAGAACTAAAAGATATTTGCATGAAATGAAGCAAATGGGTCAGGCAAGCTGTGCACAAGTAAACAAGAACATTTTGAATCTTTCAGGGACCCAACAGAGGCTTCTTCCAAACTGCATCCAGTGGTGATTTTGTCTTTCACCAAGCTCTACTTGTTTTATTATTTCCATTTTGATGGCTAAATGTGTAACTTTTTAACATGTTGGGCATACCAGGAAGGCAGGTTAATTCCACCTTCCTCGTTCATTTCTGTCTTGCTGTTCATTCGTGCTCAGTAAGGGATTCTTGAGAAAGCTAGTTACTTTGTGTGCTGTAGGGAATGCACAGACAACTGGAATAGGATTGGCTAAGAAGGATCCCATTCTTTGCCAGCTAAGCTTTATTGCTTGCTAACTGGAGCCATGCTGCTGGATCCTGGCAATTGGAAGTCTGTGTTTCTCCATTCCATCACCACCCTCTCAGTCCTAATCTGCTTTTTTATTTTTTTAAAAATCCAGCTGGACAGATGGCTAGCAGGAAAAGAGAGTAGCAGTTTACAGAGAAGAGAAAGTCCCCTGCCTCTTGGCACAGAAACATCTTACTCATCAGTTTGGGCTGGAAAGAGTGAGGATGCCCTGGTGGCTGCAGTTCCTGCTGCAGGCATTCGAAAGCTATGAATGGTCAGGATTGCAAACAGTGTCTTAGATGTAACACAGCTAAGGACACTTGCCTCTGTTTTTTCATCCTCTGAAGGAGGGCAGACAGTTGTGACCCAGATGCAACACCTGTTAAAGCTGAAGCAGCATCACCCAGCAGCCCAGCAGCAGAAAGCCATCCAGCCTCAAGTTGCACAAGGACAACCTGCAGTTCAGCAGAAGGTATCTTCAACTCTCTCTCCCTCTTACTGATTGTCTTCCTTTCTGTGACATCATGTTACAGTTTAGTTATTTATTCTAACTTGAGGATTGCATTTGCCACATGGCCATTAACCTTGATGGCTGGATAAAGTGGCCTATTGGTTTTGTTGCCATTTGCTTGGAGATTAGACCTTTGCATCAAAACACAGCTTGTACACCCTGAAGGTGTTCCTGCACTTAACCACATCCTCTTGGTCCAGGCCATATGTCTCAAACTCAAGGCCAGTGGACCAAATTAATCCCGCCATGTCATTGTATGTGGCCCTCTTGATCCTGGACTATAACTCTACATGTGGTCTTCCAGATGTTGTATTCTTCGTCATTAGACATAATGAGTAGAGCTGATAGGAGTTGTGATCTGGAAGGTGTTAGTTTGCTCTGTTTAGTCAGGAGAGTGGGGTTTCAATTGAGGGACAAGGCTTGTGGATATGATGTCTGATGTTAAAATGTTCTTTAACCTTTTTCCCAACCTTAGAGCTATAAGGGCAATTCCCATTATCCTGAGTCCACATGGCAGATAATCAAAAGTGATGGAAGTTGTCGTTCAATAACACCTGGGGACACAAATTGGGAAAAAGCTAAAAAGCACTGACCACTATATAACAATATTATTGTTGGCCCTCGGTATCCATGGAGTCTCCATTCATGAATTCAGTAGCCCTATAAAAGTCCACATAAGGCTGATGTGGCCCTTGGTGAAAATGGATTTGACACTCCTGGTCTAGGCAATTCTTTGCTTTCAGTGTTTTGCATTACAACTTCTACCAGTCCCAGGTAGCACTCCCACTGCTCAAAATGCATGGCAGGTCCTGGGTTTTACTGCCCTGACTCTGACTCGAGAGTCCACTGTTCTGTTTTGCTGCTCCAGATAAATGCCCAACAAGTTCCCGTTCAGGCTCAACAGCAGACGTCACAGCAACAGAAAGTCTATGCGACGCAGCCAGCCCTTAAAGCACAGTTCCTACCAACATCAATTTCTCAGGCCCAGAAACCTGGGGGAACACAACAGGTCCAGACTCAAATACAGGTACAGGTAGCCTACCTTTTAATCACTCTGGGTTTGGGGGAAGTCAAGTACCCTTCTCACATTCCCTGGGAATTGTGCAGGATCTATATTCAGCCAGGTCAATCAGTATGGAGCCCCAGGAATGAGCTGAAATTTAAAAAATTACAGAATACAAGGTATCTTTTTTTAACCAGGAACCTCTCCCTCAATGTGTTTTTTCTAAAGGTTGCAAAGATTCCACAAGTGGTCTCACAGCAGGCTGCGGTGGCCAATATTCAGCAGGTGGTTTCGGTTTCCCAGCAGGTAAGGTTCTCTGGAATGTACTTTCTATGTTTTATCGTTTGGAATCTCTATTTAGATATATATATTCTGTATGGCTGCTTCTAGCACCTCGTTCTTGCCCATACTGCCTTATCCGGAAGACCACTCATTTGATTAGAGATTTGTTGCAAGTTCACCTGCAGATCTGGAGAATTAGTTAAAGATGATCTACCTGCAGAAGTTAAAGGATTTACATTTTTATCTCATTAATATACAGTGTATACTAATAAGAAACTTCCTTTCCTTTCATAGTACCGATCCATACATAGTCAAAATCGTACAATCCAAACCTTTATGAATAGTTTTTAATTGGTTATAGAGAATTAAGCCTGGCCATACTGAAGCTGTTTCCTTTCTTTGAGCAGTTAAGACACAAAGATGGAAAGGAGGAATTTGTAAGAAGAATGCTTCTATTCTAAACAAGGAAGTTGTGTCATATTAGAAGACATACCTGGAGCACCCTTCTCTGGGTACAGTTCTAATAGTTTTAGTACTACAGAATTGTTTGTGCTATCATTCAGCCAGCATAACAAAATTTGCTCTACTGCATGTGTCTGCCATGTTTGTGGTTCTACTCATATTGGGTTTGCATTCTAGCTTCAGGTTGTCAGTTGCAGAGAAGCTAAGCTTCTGGACCTTTTCTTCAAGTGTTGTTTCCTTAGTCAGACAAAGACAGTAAAGATCTCTGACTCAGCTTGCTGTTTGTGTGCCTTGAGGTCTTGTCCTTTTAAATTTAGCTTTGAGAAATCTAGACTTTTTTTAAACTTCTCTTTAGTCCCATTTGGCAAGGGGTTTCTTGACCTCCTACGTCCTGCTATTCTCTAGCTGGTTTCTCATTTGGCATTGAGACAGGAATGCACCTTGGTTACACAGTCTCTGAAAGGTATTGTGCATCACACAGAACAGACTAAGATTGCTTCGGGGTGCACAGCATGGCGGAGAGACAGGTACCTTAGATCTCCGCATGGTGCCGGCTTTACCAGAAGCAGCCAGGTAGAGCAAAAGCTCCTGTCCCTTTAGCGGATCGAGGAAAGGGAACGATGGAACCATTGGGGTTGGCCGATGGTCCAAAAGGGGGGCTCCTCCTCAAGAGGAGACACCCGAAAGGACCTGGCAACGGCTCCTAGGTACGGTGGGCTGTGGTGAAGCTAACGGGGATGCAAGGACCCTACAAATCTCTGACCAGATGCACCTTTTTATAACACACGAGAGAGGAACAAGAAGTGAGTATTGAGTAAAGGGTATCGGAAGGAGGTGGGAATGCTCCTATTTATGGAAGAAAAAGACTTAAAACGTAATGAGAAATAAGAAATATTGAAGTCCTTAAATAAGTGCTACATCAATTTGGAATAAATAAGGAGAAACTAGAAACAAAGGGCGGCCCAAGGGATAAAAAAGAAATTGGAAAGAAAACAAAAAGAGTGATAAGGGGAGACCCACAAAATAAATTAGGGAAAATTTGAAGTCAGCTGAGAAGAAGGACTAGAGAAACAAGGATCAAACAAAGGGTTAAGCAAAGACTGACCTTGAACCTGGAAGCTTGGTTTGTCTTTGTGCGCAGTTGGGAGGAAGGAGAGTGTGTCCGGAGGGACTGAGAAAGGGAGAGGGCGGAGCAACGCGATGGTGAAACAAGGAAGGGATGCAAGCAAACACAAACATCGCGAGAAAGCGCGAGATAAGCACAATAGGTGGAAGTAATGCAAGAAAGGGAGAAGGGCGGAAGAGGGGCAGAAGAGACTAGAGGAATAAGGCGGAAGTAAGGACAAAGAGAAGTCCAAAAGAAACAAAGAGAGGGAAAGAAAATGAAAGAAGGTAAGAGATTCTAAGAAATCAATCAATAACTCAAGGAAAGGAAAGGGGAAAGAGGAGAGAGGAAAAAGGAAAAGCAAACCCAAAGAACAAACAACTCAACACAGAAGAGCGGGAGGAAGACAATATAAGGAAATAAGGGTAAAGAACACAAAACAACAAAAGTAAAAAAGTGAATTTTCAAATCCTTCCTACCCAAGCCCTTACTTAGAACTTCAAAAAATCTACCTACAAAAAAAATCTGCCTACCTCAGAATCTAAGGTACCCTGCCCACAAGAAAACAATCCCAGAATAGCTCATCCTGAGAAAACCCAAAAGGAAACTTACAGGTGATTAAAGGACTTTATGAGTACTGCATGATTACAACAGATGTGAGATATAGAAGAAAGATTAAAGGTGACTAAGATAACTAAATAATAATAATAATAATAATAATAATAATAATAATAAATCTCCCAATAGCTCTAATTTCTTAACGAAAGAAGACAGCAGACAGAAAAGAAATGGCAACTCTCAAAATGAAAGAAGGAAGAGATCTTAAAGGAATGACAAGAAGGGGATCAGAATTAAACATGAAAGAAATGCTGAAAGAAATTATGAATGAATTTCATACAGTTCAAGAAAAACAAGATGCTTACCAGAAAATCGCACAGGAGCAAATGTGTGACTTCAGGAAAGAAATAAAAGAGGAAATAAGTGGTATGAAGACAAATTATGCTAATGCAAAAAGAACTAAAAGGACTAAAAATGAGAGGAAAGAGATCAAAAAGGCACAAGAAAATTTAGAGAGAAAGATGAAGAATCTAGATCTTAAAAATGAAAAGCTGAAAGAAAAACAAGAGATCATAGAAACAAGAGAGATGGAACATGAGCTAAGATTGAGAAACATCCTGGAAGAACAAGAAGAAAACAAAAGTAATAGAAATTTTATCTGAATTGATGGAAAGACCTGACCAAGAGATAAATGACCAAACAGATAGAATATACAGAGTGAACACAAATTTCGCAAGAATAAGACTGTGAGGAACATAATTGTGCACTTTTCAAAAAAGATATCAAGAGTTGAAGTTTTAAAAATGAATAGCAAAAGATCTGTCTTCTACAAAGGGAAAAAGCAATAATCTTGAAAGAATACCCAGGATCGGTCCTGAACAGAAGGAGAAAGTATTGTTTCTTGACGGAGGAATTAAAAAGCCAAAAATATGATTCAGATGGAAGAGAGGAGAAGGACTAATGGCTACATTCAAGGACCAAAAATACTGGATCACCAACGAAGAGACAGCAAGAGAATTTCTGAAGAAAATCACAAGGGAAAAAGGAAAGAAAATAGAATTAGGAAAGGTGAAAAGGAAAGGAAAAGACTACGCACTGAATCCCTGGAAAAAGAAGAAATGGACATAGGGAACTACAAAATGAATGTAAGTAGTACAGAAATAATCAATCTAGTCAATGTAGAAGAAGCCGAAATAGAAGAAGAGGAAGGAGAAGAAAAAGAAGAGAACAAGAAGATAACTAATATTTGATAGTATAAAAATTTACTCCAATAATATCAATGGGTTAAACTCTCCAAACAAAAGAAATAAAATATTCAATAGAATTAAAAAAAGAAAAGTTTCATGTGATTGCATTCCAGGAAACATATATAGACGAAAGACATGTTGCACACTTGGACAGCAAAATTCTAGGACAAACATTTTATGCCTCAGCCTCGGAAAAAAAAGGGGGGGGGGTCACTTATATAAACAAAGACATCCCGGCATGCCTGTCATTTAAAGATGAAGAAGGGAGGTTTGTAGGGGTAACAATAACAATGAGAAATAAAAAAAAACATTAATATGTAATATTTATGCGCCAAATGACTCAACAATTTAAAAAATTTTGATTCATACAATGGGTGTTATTAAGTTTTGCAAAAAGGAAGTTTTGCTGCCTCACCCTGTAAAAGAAATGGCTATGGGATATTATTTCGAAAATATAATTGGTGTAATTTATGATACACAAGAAGCAAAAATAATAATGAATGGCCAAGAGACAGAGACAATCAATATTCAGAAAGGAACGAGACAAGGTTGTCCCATATCACCCCTAATATTCATACTAACATTAGAAATATCATTAGATAGAATAAGAGAGGATAAAAAAATAAAGGGAGCAAGAATACAAGGACAGGACTACAACCTAAGAGCTTTTGCCGATGATATCATAGGGATAATCGAAGCTATAGAAATATGACAGAAGACAAAAAAAGAGGCAGGCTAGCAACACCAGATATCAAAATATATTATGAGTTATGTGCCTTAATTTGGATAAGAGACTGGTCAAAACTGGAGAAAGAAAAATTATTAAATTTAGAAGGGGCCGAACTAAGATATGGATGGCACTTGTATCGTTGGTACAAGAAGGCCAAAGTAAAAAAAAAAACTTCAGCAACCACTTTTTTCTCTTCTGAGAGTATGGGAAAAATACAAGAAAAACCTCTATGAAAAAACACCGATGTGGATTTCCCCACTCGAGGCTTCACAAAGGAGGATAACAGGTTGGAACAAATGGCCCAATTATAAAGAGATACTGAAAAGAGAAGAAGGAGAAATCAAGATGAAGACACAACAGGAATTAAACAAAATCATATCATGGTATCAATATTGGCAGATAAAAGAGCACTTTAAGACAGATAAAGAAATAGGATTCGAAGAAAGGGAAAATTTCTGGGACAAAATAATGCAAACCGATAGCAAATTGATATCCAAAATTTATTTTTAAAAAACTTTCAGATTGGACAAGAGAAGAAGAGGAAGGCTACATGAAGAGATGGAAAGAAAACATATGGAGAACCATCAAAAAAGAGGAATGGGAAGAGGTATGGAATCAGAAATTAAAATTGTGCAATGGAATTAAAAGAAAATTGGATCAAATGGCCCATAGATGGTATATAACCCCCCATAAATTAGGAAAATACTATAAAAATGTCAACTCGAAATGCTGGAAATGCGGGGAAATTGAAGGAACATATTACCATCTATGGTGGACATGTAATAAAGCTACAAATTATTGGAAGAAGATCCAAAAAACTACAAGAGATGCTTGGAATTGATATACCTAGAAAACCAGAAACCTTTCTGCTTGGAATGCATGACCTAAAAATTGACAAAAACAATGACAAAATACTATTCCTATTACTATAGGCAGCTAGAATTTCATATGCAAAACACTGGAAAAAAGAAGAACCCCCAGAAGAAGAATGGCTGACAAAAATTCTTGACATAAGAAATATGGATAAACTGACACGTTTACTATAAAAAAGAAGGGCTTGCTGAAGGAAGAGACAGACTGGAAACAAGTGACAACATACTTAATGGAGGAAAAAAACTTGAAAATAATCATTTAACGAAGAGAAAACAACAGATAATACGAAAAGAGGGAGAAAAGATAAGAACGAGACAAGAAAAGGGAAAAAAAGAGAAAGGAAAAGGAAAGAACCTCATAGAAGATACTGGGAGGTCAAGAACACTACACTTTTATATACTTTGAACCTTTTACTTTCCCCTCTCCTCTGTCTTCCTCTCACTCTTTCTATCCCAAATCTATCTACCTACCTACATCCTCACCCACCACTCTTTAAACCCCCAACAATTCCCTCCCTATCTCTATCCCTACCCATCTCTATTCTAATTCTATACTATTTATCTAAATCTATTTTATTCATAATTATGTATTCTATATTTAAACCAAATAAAGATATTTTTTTTAAAAAAAGAACTGACTAAGATTAATTGCAAGGTAATATTGTCTTACAACCAGTTTCCTAAATGCTGCAAATAAAATTGCTTGTGTCCATGATAGAGTTAGCAAGTTTTCTAGACAATTCTGCCTGTCCTATTAATATGGATATTTCTCAACTGGAAGGCTTCTCTGGGAATGCTTTTCAACTCATCATTTATGCTTTTGTAGATATTATCCAAAGTAGCAAAGTGGTACTCTTTCAGGTGGTTTTTGGACTGAGGGAATACAAATTAGTCACAGGGGTTGAGATCCGGCCAATAAGGGGAGCTGAGGACCACAGGAATGTTTGTGTGTGTGTTGGGGGGGGGGGGGGGGGTTTGCCAAAAATCATTGACTCAGCTTGCTGTTTCTGATTTCTGTGTGATGTGGTGCAGCATCCAAGTGTGTACAATGCCTGGTTGCACACATGCCACCCTCTTCCTGAATCTTCCAAAGACTTTCTGATTAAAAAGTTTGATTGACACTTTGCCTTGGAAGCACAAATGTCTTGATGATTCCGACTCTCAAAAAAATAAAAACAAATGAGCATTCATCTGATTTTCAATCTGCTCATTCTTTATTTCTTGGGAGAATTTGCAGTGTACCACTCCTGACTTTGGCGTTTGGTCTTGAAAATCCATTATTCATCTTCATCTGTATCCAATCACGCAACAGGAGGATTCTAGCTCCCTCTCAAGATCAAGTTCAGAAGATCAATATGCACATCCCTTCAATTAGCCTTGTGCTTGGTTGTGAGGTGTTTTGGAACCATCTCAGTTTAGACTTCTCATACCCAAATCCTGTGTTAAAATCGGATTGATGGTATTTTATTTTTTATTTATCGTGTCAGGGCAACCAGTTGATTATATTACATTTCTAACAGAACAAAGCAAACAAACAGACAAAATACAAAATTTGTGAGTTTGGTAGTTGATTAAATGTCCTTTGACCAGTATCTGGCCACTTGGAGTGCTTCTGGTGTTGCTGCAAGAAGGTCCTCCATTGTGCATGTGGCAGGGCTCAGGTTGCATTGCAGCAGGTGGTCAGTGGTTTGCTCTTCTCCACACTCGCATGTCGAGGATTCCCCTTTGTAGCCCAGGTGTTCAGTGGTTTGCTCTTCTCCACACTCGCATGTCGTGGATTCCACTTTGTAGCCCCATTTCTGAAGGTTGGCTCTGCATCTCGTGGTGCCAGAGCACAGTCTGTTCAGCGCCTTCCAAGTCGTCCAGTCCTCTGTGTGCCCAGGGGGGAGTCTCTCATTTGGTATCAGCCATTGGTTGAGGTTCTGGGTTTGATCCTGCCACTTTTGGACTCTCACTTGCGGAGGTTGTTCCAGCAAGTGTCTCTGTAGATCTTAGAAAACTATTTCTAGATTTAAGTTGTTGACGTGCTGGCTAATACCCAAACGGGATGAGCTGGAGATATCTCTGCCTTGGTCCTTTCACTATTGGCTGCTACTTCCCGGCGGATGTCAGGTGGTGCAATACCGGCTAAGCAGTGTAATTTCTCCAGTGGTGTAGGGCGCAGACACCCGTGATAATGCGGCATGTCTCATTAAGAGCCACATCCACTGTTTTAGTGTGGTGAGATGTGTTCCACACTGGAGTAGCACAGCGCAAGAGCAGATGTCTTCACTGTATCTGGTTGTGATCCACATGTTGTGCCAGTCAGCTTTCGTATGATATTGTTTCTAGCACCCACTTTTTGCTTGATGTTCAGGCAGTGCTTCTTGTAGGTAAGAGCACGGTCCAGAGTGACTCCCAGGTATTTGGGTGCGCTGCAATGCTCCAGTGGGATTCTTCCCAGGTGATCTTCAGAGCTCGGGATGCTTGTCTGTTCTTGAGATGAAAGGCACATGTCTGTGTTTTAGATGGGTTAGGGATCAGCTGGTTTTCCCTGTAATAGGCAGTAAGAGCACCTAGAGCTTCGGAGAGCTTCTGTTCTACCATCTCAAAGCTCCCTGCTTGAGCAGTAATGGCACGATCATCAGCATAGATGAAACTCTCTGTCCCTTCTGGCAGTGGCTGGTCATTTGTGTAGATGTTGAACGTGGATGGAGCAAGCACGCTCCCCTGAGGCAGGCCGTTCTTCTGTTTCCGCCATCTGCTTCTCTGGCCCTGGAACTCAACAAAAAAGCTCCTGTTTTGTAGCAGGTTTCCTATGAGGTGGGTGAGGTGGTAGTCCTTTGTGATATTACACATTTTTCTCAGGAGGAGGCGGTGGTTCACAGTATCATAGGCTGCTGACAGGTCTATGAAGACAGCTCCTGTGATCTGCTGCCTTTCAAAGCCATCTTCTATGTGCTGAGTCAGGTTCAACACTTGCAATGTGCAGCTTTTGCCTTTTCTGAAGCCAGCTTGCTGTGGGATCAGACAAGGGTCTATTTTTTCCGTAATTCTATGCAAAATAAGTCTCTCCGGAACTTTGTAGAGGTGGCACAGCAAGGAGACTGGTCTGTAGCTTTTTGGGTCATTACGGTCTTTGCCTTGCTTCAAGATGGCGATGACTCTTGCTTTCCTCCAGATTTTGGGGATCTGACAGGATGCAGTGCAGTTGTTCATCAGCTCCAGCAGCCAGCGCCTTGCTTTTGGACCAAAGTTCTTGATTTGTTCCATCCGTAGATCATCCAGGCCAGCTGCTTTGCCATTTTTACATTTATTGAGAGCCATGTCCAGTTCAGTAGATGTAAAGCAGTTCGAAAACATGCAAATGTGAGTAGATCAATAGGTACCGCTCCGGCAGGAAGGTAACGGCGCTCCATGCAGTCATGATGGCCACATGACCTTGGAGGTGTCTACGGACAACGCTGGCTCTTCGGCTTAGAAATGGAGATGAGCACCACACCCCAGAGTCAGACATGACTGGACTTAATGTCAGGGGACTACCTTTACCTTTACCTTAAAAGGTTCATGAAGGTTGTTGTTCTCAATCTCTGGTTGTCTGGCTATTGGTTTCTTTCCTACTCTGGTGGCAAAGTTGGGTTTCCTATTCTTCAAGAGTTGGTGTGCTATCTGGTCTGCCTTTATGTTGGCATGGGTATTACTTTGTGAGGGGTTGTTGCTCAACCGTCTTAGCAGCCTCCACGCCTTCTGGCTGCTCCTGCCCATGTCGACCTCTGTGATCAGCTTGATCCACTGTTCTTTCTTGGCTTCAGAGATGGAGGACACAATGCTCTGCGCTGCCTGAAGGGTCTGCTCACTAAATGGATCTTCGTTGTGGAGCCTGTAATAGTTTTCCAACAAGGCAGCTGTTTCAGGAGTAATGCCCTGAAGGTAGTTGGTTCTGCAGCCTCTCGGTATCTAGGCCCGTGAGCAGGTTTTCACTATTTCAATAAAATGCTCGTATTCCTCAGGGATTGGCGCAGCCGATTTAACTCACTACTGATCGTTCTCAATCTCACTTGACTATCTGACATCAGTAGAGTCCTCACTCTTTCTACATTGTCAGCCATTTTTGAGGTTGAGGTTTGCCTTCCATTTTTTCTTGGCCCTCTGAAAAGGCCTTGTACAATCTGAACACTTGTAGCCTGGATAGGGAATGTTCTCTATAAGCCCTTTGTATTTTTTCATAAGTCACAGTAGCGGATTATCCAAGCTTTACACAAAATGTGATGGGCAGAGTCTTGCTCTCATTTTTGCCGGTCTGTTTCATAATGAACTTCACAAACACAACTTCACATCAGAAGCTCTCAACAATTGCATAGTAACTGTAGCAAGTTCAAACTTGTACTGAGCCCACGGCAGTGGTGAACTTAACTGCCATGTGAAGGGGAAGGTCACAGCGTTCTCAGTTCATGCACAGTGTTGCCAGCTCATTACTTTTCTGCCATACCTCGTAGATCTTAGGCCGGGCCAAGCATTTGCAGGGTGATGTAATTGCTGGTGACTTGCCTTACATATCTTTCTTTCTTTAATTTACATTATCCTCTTTCTCCTACCATAGGACCCAAGGCTGCTTACAGAATAGAATAAATCAAAGTACATTGGAATTCATTTTCTCTTCCTCTTTCAGGTTCAAGCCCAACCACAGACTGTGACTTTGTCCCAAACGACTGCAGGCCAGCATCAAGTCCAAGTGATCCCTGCTGCCACTACTGCTACAGCTCAAGTGGTCCCACAGAAACTGATACAACAGCAGGTTGTCACAACCTCTCCCCAGATGCAGGCCCCAGGAGTACAAAACCAAGCCCAGGCCTCAGCACCATCTGATGGCCAGACTCAGCAAGGAAAAGTGCAGATGAGAGCGCCAGTCAGGTTAAAGGCACCCAGCAAACCTAGTTAATTCCATAATCTAAGAGCCGTGATTAGAAAGGGGAGAGAAGCACCGCTTTTACAATCATTTTATGCAATCTGGCAAATGTGGGGCTTGGTTCATTGATGAATCTACGTCTTCCTGAATGCCTTCACATGTTCTGACTTGCAGAAAGACATCAGACAGGAAAATTGATTCCAAATAGTTTCAAGAATTGTTTTGGAACCATGTGTAGTGTAAATATTTCATACCTAGAACCCTCAGAAAACAATGTGGTTACTTTTCAACATCAGTAAATTTGTGCACACATTAGGTCACATTATAATCACTCCTAGGGAAAAATTTAATAGAATGATGGGATTGGCAAAACCCTTACTGTTTAGGTGAGTTTCCACAAACCTATGACTAGATAGAGGAAGACCTTTTGGAATTAATTCCTGCAATAGTTTGCCAATGTCAAAATTTTAAGTGCTTCTAATTATAAACCATATTGCAGCATTCATTTTTGTCTTTTTTAAAAACAAGCATTTACTAGTAGCATGTTGTTGTTTCTTTGGTGTACAGTTTTTTTTAAAAAAAAAATCCCTACCCTTTGTTTTGCTTCCATATTTCACTGTTAAAGTAATGACTATCTGAAGCATGTGGGTTTTCTTGGTAAATAAATACTATGTGATAATAGCTGTGTTTAATTGTTAACAATATTGCTTCCTTAATTTGTAAAAAGGAAATGTTTTATTATGATGGCAGAGTTTGTTGCCCTTGTTTCACATGAAGCTTCCAGTGCAGAAGTATGTTCATCTTATGGAATTTCTACTTTTACAACCCATTTCAAAATTCAGTTACACTTCTGCTTAACAAAAAGAGAGAATGGAACGTTTCCTTCAAATTTTACATTTGCGTAAACTAGCAGATGGACTTTTAACTGGTTTATTAAAGATAAAGGTCCGCCTCGTAATCAATAATTTTGGAAGTTAAATTTCCCCTACTGCATTTGAATTCCAATTCAACCTAGAAGTATTTTTAGAATAGCAGCTCCCTTTGCCATGGTTTGCTGTTCTAACTATTAAAGTTGCATGGGATGCCATATGAACCATGGAAATACTGGGTAGCTTAAGAAAAAACAGAAGAAAAAGTTGTGGGCTATTGCCCACAAAAAAAGAATAGACATAAATGTAAGGGAAATGTGAGCGCAGATGGGGGCATCTTTGAAATTTTGTCAGTCTTTTAAAAAACAAAACAAGTTGCAGATTTTTGTCTTCAGGTGAACTTTGGAAAAATATTCTTACCGAAGCTTGAGATCATATCAGGCGTCCATATCCATTTCTTACTAATTTTAGTGTGTCATCGGTCGATAGATTATTGATCTAGAACTATTTGATATCCAGGATAGTTTAGACAAAGAATTAGACATCTTTGCTAGTTCTGCAATGCAGAATTCCAGCTTCTTCCTCCTGATTTGCCAACGTAGTCTTCTTGCTGCAACATACTGTATTTTTAGGGGCTCATGTGTTGTGTGTTTACGTTTAAAAAAAAGACAACTCCATAAAGGAGCTAAGAGACAGACTGTTGAGTCTCCCCATCTTTTCCCCATCCCAATGGTTTATGTGCCTCCTAGTATGCAGATAGCAAAAATCAACTGTAGATTAACTTATGATACTGAATTGTTCCCTTTAGTAATTGTTCAAGAGCTAGCCTCCTCAGAAGTGAAGTGGGATTGAATGCACAATCTGGTTCTTGGATCATTACACCCCTCCCTCCCTCCCTCCCTCCCTCCCTCCCTCCCTCCCTCCCTTAAAAACATTGAAGTATTACTTCTGACAGACCTTTAAGCCTTTGTGTACAAATGCAGTGGGATGTGAATATACAAAATGCAGTTAAGACTGCATTTTACAGCCGCAATATACTTATTTTGCTTATGTCAGCTGAAACAATGTCTGTTTCCGTGGACAGGGATGATAAAAATGAGATTTCTCCTACTTTTCTGTCTCTTCCTCCTTCCGTCTTGGAACGTTTACTAAAAATGCTGATCAAAAAAAGTGTAAATATCTTTATGAACATTAAAACATTTGTACTTGACCTGTAGGATTGTAAGGACTTGTGGTGTATCCTATCTGAAAGTGTAATAAACTACATTTTTATAACATTTGTTCTTTGTAGTTTTTTAAACATGTGTATTTTACATTGTCTTCTTGGTTCTGATTCTTCCTGTAATATTTTTAGTTTTTTCTTCCAGAGACCCTACGGCAATGTGTCAAACTCAAGGCCCGTGGGAAGAATCCAGCCCTCTGTGTCATTTTATCTGTCCCTCCAGATGCTGGACTGCAAGTCCTGTGTTCCTCATCAGTAGACATTATCATGACTAGAGCTGATAGTATTTGGGATACCGCAGTGGTTCTCAACCTGGGGTCCCCAGGTGTTTTTGGCCTACAACTCCCAGAAATCCCAGCCAGTTTACCAGCTGTTAGGATTTCTGGGAGCTGAAGGCCAAAAACATCTGGGGACCCCAGGTTGAGAACCACTGGGATACAGTGAGATCTGGAAGGCTACAGTTGGCTCTGTTTTTGGACAATGGAAATCTCCATAATTGTTATGGAGATTTTATGATCTTTGGAAAAGGATAACCTCGTTAGAAGTCACAACCTTTTGAAAAATGATGCCAAAAGGTAAAAAGCATGACCTGTTAGAGTCATAACCTTTTGAGAAAATGGCATTCACCAGCACTCATATACACACAGCAGAGTTTCAGAATTATTTTTATTATTATTATTAAACTTTATTTGTACCCCGCTAGCATCTCCCGAAGGACTCAATGCGGCTTACACAGGCCAAGGCCTCAACACAACAACAGCATAACAACAACAATTCAAAGCAAATCAAAAACATAAAGCAATAACAACAAAACATTACACCATAACACAGTAAAAACCAGGGCCGGGCCAAGTGATGGGTACAGATTAAAAAAGTGCTGGGTGTGACAGGTGGTATGTTGGATTTCTGGGCAAGTGCAATGTGCAGAGAATCTTAAACTCTAATAAAGTGCTTCTGGGACATAGTGCTGGGGTTTTCCTATTCCGGAAAGGCACATCGGAATAGCCCGGTCTTCAAGCTCTTCCTAAAGACTGCCAACGTGGGTGCTAATCTAATGTCTTTGTGGAGGGTGTTCCAAAGTCGGGGGGGGCAACCACAGAAAAGGTCTTGTCCCTCATCCCCACCAAACGCTCCTGCAACGCAGGCGGGATCATGAGCAGGGCCTCTCCGGATGAGCAAAGGGAGCGCGTGGGTTCATAGACGGAGATGCGGTCACGCAGGTAGGCAGGTCCCAAACCGTTTAGGGCTTTGTAGGTAAGCACCTGCACCTTGAATTGGGATCGGAAGGTAAACGGCAGCCAATGGAGCTCCTTAAACAGGAGAGTTGACCTCTCTCTGTAAGGAGCACCAGTTAACATCCTGGCCGCCGCCTGTTGGACCAGTTGGAATTTCCAAGCTGTTTTCAAGGGCAGCCCCACGTAGAGCGCATTACAGTAATCCAATCTAGAGGTGACCAAGGCATGGACCACCCCGGCCAAATCAACCATTGCGAGGTACGGTCGCAGCTGGCGCACAAGTCTTAGTTGTGCAAAAGCCCTCCCGGACACCGCCGACACCTGAGCCTCAAGCGTAAGCGATGAATACAAGAGGACTCCCAGACTGCGGACCTGTGACTTCAGGGGGAGAGTAACCCCGTCCAGCACAGGTTGCCACCCTATACCCCGATCCGGTTTACGATTGACCAGGAGGACCTCTGTCTTGTTGGGATTGATCTTCAGCTTGTTCGTCCTCATCCAGATAGCCACAGCGGCCAGGCACTCGTCCAGCACTCGAGGGGCCTCCTTGGTAGGTGGAAATGAGTAATAGAGCTGTGTGTCATCTGCATAGAGATGGCACCTAACTCCAAAACTCCGGATGACCTCTCCCAGCGGTTTCATGTAGATGTTAAAAAGCATGGGAGACAAGATAGAGCCTTGCAGGACCCCACAGGTCAAAGGCCAGGGGTCCGAGCAGGCATCTCCCAGCTTCACCATCTGGGAACGACCCTCCAGGAAGGACCGGAACCACGCCAAAACCATGCCCCCAAGACCCATCCCAGAGGGTCGACCCAGAAGGATACCATGATCGATGGTATCGAAAGCCGCTGTGTTCTTTTGGTTGCCCAAAAACATCTGCTCGCCCTTAAAACATCTTGGCTTAAATCATGCTCTCAAGAGACAAAAAGAAGCAGACTTCTGTAAAGGTAACATAGTTGGTTTACTCATAAGCTTAATGTATTCAGCATACAGATACTTTGCTTATCGGTCCAGTTACAGATAGGATTTGAAGTAGTTTATCTGTGTGGATTTCTTATAATCAGCAGTCCATAATCTAAAGCATCTCTCTGTTCTGAGAGTCTAATGGAGTTTCTGTCTAGTCTGAAAGTCCAATGGAATCTGTATAGTCCGAGAGTCGGAAAACATATCTGTTCCTACTGAAGTCTCTAAGCATACAGTTCCTACTGAAGTCTAAACTGTACTGTTTCTAAACTGGAGTCTGAACAAGCCCAAATTTGATCACATGACCTGCAGTCCCTCCCACAACAAAGAGTAAAAAGCCTCAAATCATACAAGGCTTATGGATATGATGTCTGACTTTAAAATGTCCCTTAACGTTTCCCCAACCTCAGAGCCACAAGTGCACAACAACCCCTGTCTGCACGGCAGATAATCAAAAGTGATAGGAGTTGTCATTCAGCAACATTCAGGCATGCAAATTGGGTAAAAATGAAAGATCACTGCCCACAATGTAAAAAACTATGTACAGGCAGTCTGCAAATTACAAACAAGATTGGTTCTGTAGGTCTGTTCTTAAGTTAAATTTCTAATTTGGAACAGGTACATTTTTAAAATGTAACTCTAGCCATACACACAAACATATATAAGCTTTGGATAGCATAGGGAAGAGTTAACGTCCCTGTGGTGTTTCCTTTGCTGTCTGTGCCCCTGTTCAGAAGATTTCCTCTCACTTTGTCTCTGTGATAATTGGATTTTGAAAAAAAAGGCTTGTGAAAACAAGGATTGATGGGAAAGCTTCAGTGGAGACCCCTTCCCCCCATGATAACTCTTTCAGGAATGGATTTCCCTTCCTCGGGGTAGATTTCTCTCACTTCCTGTTGTCTCAGCCTTGTTCTGAGCTAGGAGTCATTTGTAAGTCGGATGTTTGTAACTCAGTGACTCTCTGTAGTTGGCCCTCTGTATCTACGGATCCTCCATCTAGGGATATTTTCAATCTATGGATTCAACAGCCCTTTGAAGGGAACTGTAAGGCTGATGGGTTTGACAGCCCTGCCCTAAGGAAAAAGCTATGATCTTCAAATATAATGTCAAAAAGTTTTAGCTTAGACATATCTCCTACACCCAACTTTCAGAGATGTAAAGTGGGAGATGAAACCTGACCTCTACTCATTGTCAATGTTAACAATTGTTTTTCGCCTCAGTTAACAAAGATGTGTTCTCGGTCCAGATGCAACTGGAAAGAGAATCATAAGTTGGAAGAGACCTCATGGGCCATCCAGTTCAACCCCCTGCCAAGAAGCAGAAATATTGCATTCAAAACATCCCTGACAGATGGCCATCCAGCCTCTGTTTAAAAGCTTCCAAAGAGGGAGCCTCCACCACATTCCGAGGCAGAGAGTTCCACTGCTGAATGGTTATCACAGTCAGGAAGTTCTTCCTAATGTTCAGATGGAATCTCCTTTCTTGTAGTTTGAAGTCATTGTTCTGCATCCTAGTCTCCAGGGAAGCAGAAAACAAGCTTGCTCCCTCCTCCCTATGACTTCCTCTCATACATTTATACATGGCTATCATGTCTCTTCTCAGCCTTCTCTTCTTCAGGCTAAACATGCCCAGCTCTTTAAGCCACTCCTCCTAGGGCTTGTTCTCCGGACCCTTGATCATTTTAGTCGCCCTCCTCTGGACACATTCCAGCTTGTCAATATCTCTCTTCATTTGTGGTGCCCAGAACTGGACACAATATTCCAGGTGTGGTCTAACCAAGGTGGAATAGAGAGGTAGCATTACTTCCCTAGATCTAGGCGCTATGATAGGGCTCATATAGGTCCTTTGAATGGCCTTAGTGTAATCTGTGTAGGCCAGGCATTGTAGATAAAGACCACCACTCTGAATAGTATCCAGAAACAGATCGGCAGCCAGTCGAACAGAAGCAGATTGAAGGGCCCTTTCACACAGCCCTATGTCCCAGAATATCAAGGCAGAAATCCCACAATATCTACTTTGAACTGGAATATCAGAGTCCACACTGCCATATATCCCAGTTCAAAGCAGATAATGTGGGATTATATTCAGCTGTGTGGAAGGGGCCCAAGTGGGATACATTACAGATCTCCAGCAACTGGCACACTAACTCTTAACTCAGTGTTTCTCAAGCTTCCTATTACCACGACCCCTTAATACAGTTCCTCATGTTGTGGCAACCACCAACCATAACATTATTTTTATTGTTACTTCATAACAGTAATTTTGCAACTATTATGAATTGTAATGTAAATATCTGATATGCAGGATGTATTTTCATTCACTGGATTAAATTTGGCACAAATACCCGATACGCACAAATCTGAATACTGGTGGGGTTGGGGTTTGATTTTGCCATTTGGGAGTTCACCTACAATCAAAGAGCATTCTGAACTCCACTAACAATGGAATTGAACCAAACTTAGCACACAGAACTCCCATGACCAACAAAGAATACTAGAAGGGTTTGGTGGACACTGACCTTGAGTTTTGGTGTTGTAGTTCACCTACATCCAGAGAGCACTGTGGACTCAAACAATTAATTAATTAATTGCTGCATTTGTATACCGCCTTTCTCAGCCAGAGGCGGCTCAAGGCAGCGATTTGATGCCATGACAAATATCAGGGTACAGTTAAAAACAATTATACAGTTATAAAAAAATTCAACATTTAAAATGTATTATAAAAGAAACAATAATATCGATAAAACAAATCCTCAGCGTCTCCAATTGCATCAACAGTCATTCCCTGTTCGCTTTTCGTCTAATTATGTAAAAGCTTGCTCGAAAAACCAGGTCTTAACCATCTTACGGAATGTTAGAAGAGAGGGAGCCGATCTTATATCCCTGGGGAGGGTGTTCCATAGCCGAGGGGCCAACACTGGTCCCCGCCAAACGCATTGGCGAGGAAGGTGGGATTGAGAGCAGGGCCTCCCCAGATGATCTTAAAGTCCTACATAGTTCATAAGGAGAGATACGTTGAGATAGGTAAGCCGGACCAGAACCCTTTAGGATGGATCTGGACCAAACTTGGCACAAATACTCAATATGCCCAAATGTGAACACTGGTGGAGTTTGAGGAAAATCGACCTTGACATTTGGGAGTTGAAGTTGCTGGGATTTCTAGTTCGCCTACAATCAACGAGCATTCTGATAGAATTGGGCCAAACTTCGCAAACAGGACCTCAATGACCAACAGAATTTTTCTGTATTTTTCTGATGTTCTTTTGCGACCCCCCCAGGGATCCCGACCCTCGGGTTGAGAGATACTGTCTTAACTGCAAATTGCATTCTTGTTCACTTTTGAAACGCGATATAAGCTCTCCACCTCTCGTCCTCGGTAATTCCCAGGTGCCCCAGCGGCACTGACCAATGAGCCTTTGGTTACGGGAAGAGCCGCGTGCGTGCTGGGCGTGGCGAAGTCGAAAGGCTGCCTGATTGGCCAGTCGGCCTTCCCCCCGCGCATGCCCAGTCAACCAAAGAAGGGATCATGGCGGCCTCGGTAGCTGAAGCTGAGGCGAGTTTGGGTGCCTGTTTGGAGGCGGTCCTGAGCAGCCGGAGCCATGCCAACCGCGTCTTTGAGGCCTTGGAGCTGCTGCAGGTGGGTCCGGAGAGTCGCCCTCCTTCTGCGAAGAGCGGCGCTCCAAAACTCTTGGGCACGTGCTTGGCCTCCGCCTCCCTCCAGCCCAGCCTGGCCTTTGGGCCCTCACGACACCACGGGCAACTTTTAGAACTAATGTATTGTCGAAGGCTTTCATGGCCGGAATCACTAGGTTCTTGTGGGTTTTTTCGGGCTATAGGGCCATGTTCTAGAGGCATTTCTCCTGACGTTTCGCCTGCATCTATGGCAAGCATCCTCAGAGGTAGTGAGGTCTGTTGGAATTAGGACAATGGGTTTATATATCTGTGGAATGGCTGGGGTGGGGCAAGGAGCTCTTCCTTGCTGGAGCTAGGTGTGAATGTTTCAACTGATCACCTTCATTAGCATTTGAAGGCTTGGCTGAGCCTGGGAAAATACCCTGTTGAGAGGTGTTAAGATGTGCCTGGTTGTTTCCTCTCTGCTGTTTTGCTGTTGTAATTTTAGAGTTTTTTTGTCCTAATTCCAACAGACCTCACTACCTCTGAGGATGCTTGCCATAGATGCAGGTGAAACGTCAGGAGAAATGCCTCTAGAACATGGCCATATAGCCCGAAAAAACCCACAAGAACCTTTTAGAACTAACTCGTAGGCTTCAAGGAAGGCTCTGTAAATGTGGTTTTAATTTTGTTGTATGGCTTTAATATTACACAGCAACACCCCCCCCCCCCTTTTTTTTTTTCCTTTGGTGTCTTTGTTTTGAAGCCTGTTCCTGGGGTTCGTTGCGACGCTGTTTCCGAAAATGGAATTGGATAGACAGCATCAGCCCTAGAATCACAGAATCCTAGAGTTGGAAGAGACCTCGTGGGTCATTCAGTCCAACCCTATTCTGCCAAGGAAAATCATATTCAATGCACACCCGACAGATGGCCATCCAGCCTCTGTTTAAAAACCTCCAGAAAAGGAGCCTCCACCACACTCTGGGGCAGAGAGAGAGTTCCACTACTGAACAGCTCTTGCACACAGTTAGGAAGTTCTTACTAATGTTCAGGTGGAATTTCCTGTAGTTTGAAGCCATTGTTCCATTGTGTCCCTAGTCTCCAGGGCAGCAGAAAACAAGCCTGCTCCCTCCTCTCTGTGACTTCCCCTCACATACGTATACATGGCCCTCATCATGACTCCTCTCAGCCTTCCCTTCTGCAGGCTAAACATGCCCAGCTCTTTCAGCCACTCCTCATAGGACTTGTTCTCTAGACCCTTGATCATTTTAGTCACCCTCCTCTGGTCACATTCTAGCTTGTCAACCTTTCTATAGCATTGCAGTGCCCCTAATTGGACACAGTGTGATTCCAGGTGTGGTCTGACCAAGTCAGAATAGAGGGGTCGCATGACTTCCCTAGATTTAGACATAGACTCCTATTTTGTTTGTAACCTGGGGACTGCCTGTTCTACACAATGCTTAGTTAACCCAGTGTCTATCCCCACTTTTTTGTAACTGTTTGAGCAGATGTCACTTATTTCCGAACCCTTTCCTTCCCCATCTTCTCCCAGTCTGAGCAAAAGGAGATTGTTCTATGCGCCATCCGGATTTGCAGCCGCCTCTTTGGATCTTTGCTTGAGCAAGGAGAACTGTTTGTGGGCAAACTACCTTCCGAAGAGGAATCTCAGCAAGGTGTGGATATATTTGTTTGTAAAGAGCAGTTGGTGTGAATGTGAGAATGCAAATGATGCATGGTAGTTCAAATTCAGCTGCTATCATTGAGGTGTGAGTGCTGAGGCTCACATAGCCAAATGACAAAGGAGAAGATACCACCTGTCTTGGGTAAGTTCAAGGTTTTCAGAAGTAGAAGATTTCTTTAGAACAAAAAGGAAAAAAAATTAGGGAAATCTCAAAACAGTAAGAGGTAAGCATAAGATACATTACATTGTTGATTTAATGCAGTTTAACATCCCTTTGACTGCCATGGCTCAGCTGGCACACTTAAGACACAATTTAAAACCTATTTTTTCCAGATCTACCCAATCAGTTTTAAACCATGAATTTTACATTTACATTTTATTAGTATTGGTATTTTAATATTTGTTTTAGCTACCTATCTATATATGGTCATTTGTTTTATCCACATGTTTTAACTATGTTGTACCCACCTCAAGCTACATGGGGAAACATCCCTGTGAATATGGCGATCATACTATTTATCATAGTCACACTTTCATGAATTTCTGTTTGGAATCCCCTCCCTGTCTCAGTTTCTGGTTTCCAATTGATATTTTGCACTGAAAACACAACCTGGTGGAATCCATTCCACAGCTTATGTGACTTCTGAAGACATTGGGCTTCTCCAGACCTTATTGAGGTGCGTCATAGCAGAAGGGGAGAATATTTTCCATAACTTGCGAGTTCCGATTTGTTTTTGTTTACATTTAGGCCATAATAAGCATATTTCGCACCTTTACAGTATTTAATATATTGTACACATCAACTAATCGTAATAGCAGATCCAGTTGACTTCCAGGTTGAAACAACAATGGAGGAAATCAGAGGAGTGTGAACATTTCTGTGGGGTACTGTGTCTGTTATATTCATATTGATCAACATTTCTTTCAATATACAGGCAGACACCATGTTACGAACAAGAGGTTCTGTAGGTTTGTTCTTAATTAGAGTTTTATGTAAGTCAGAGCAGGTACATTTTTAAAGTGTAACGCCAGCCAAAACTCACTCACTCACTCACTCTGTCTGTCTGTCTGTCTGTCTGTCTGTCTGTCTGTCTGTCTGTCTAAGCTTGGGATAGCATAGGGAAGGGTTAACACCCCTATGGTGTTTGTTTTGCGGTCTGTGCCTCTATTCAGAATATTTCACCTCACTTTCTGCCCCTGTGATAATTCGAATTTGAAAAAAATGGACTTCCTGTGGAAACAGGGATTTGTGATACAGCTTAGGTGGAGACATCTTTTCCCTATTATATTCTTCCAGGAGTGAATTTTCCTTCCTCGGGGTAGATTATCTCATTTCCTGTTGTATCACATCCATTGTTAACTATGATTTGTTTGTAAGTCGGATGTAACTCAGGGACTGACTGTGTTTGCCATGTCCCTGCTCAGGATACAATATAAATCCCTCCATACCCTTTTTTCTTCTCTGTTGTGAGCAAGCAGAGGCCTTGAGAGGGCTGAGTCTTCACATGCCACAGTCAGGTGTAGATTTGAATGTAAGATTTTCCAGTAAAAGTCTGGCCTGGTGCTGTCCTTTGCATATGAGAAGAAGCTTTGTTGGCTGTGAGATTTTTCTTCGTTACTTGTTTCTGCACAGTGCTTTGCTAAGTACAGATATCACACATAGGGAACTTTTAAGCATTTCCAAGAAAATGTTGGCCTGAACATTGCTTTTCCTCAACAACCACATGCAACCTTGGTGATCTCTCTCAATCCCGAAAAAAAATTGAATATGGAGCAGATTACAAAAATGCTTTTTTTCAGGGGGAGGGGGTGTTTTTAAAACCCGTTGGTGGCACAGTCCCACTCTAAAGCTTATTTTGGGTGGAATTGTCCTTCCAACAGGAAAAAAAATCAAAACAGAACATCAGAAACATCTATAAAACCATTCTGAACTATGATGAAAATTACTTTAGTTATCTAGCAGGTCACTTTCTGGTTGTAACTTTGTGGCCCGCTAAGCATTCCCCAGAACCCAAATTGGTCCAGCAGCCAATTGTGACTTTAGACAGAAGCTTCATTGTGCAACCACTAAATTAGAACTTTTCAGAAGTTTGCTTCTGTCCAGTAGGGATTGAATGGGGATAAAGACGTATGGCCCTGCCTCTTGTTTTGTAGAGAAAATGTGGAGGGGGGTACAATTCTAAAATTTAATAAATCCATAATATTAATTTTAATTTGAACTATGTTAATTAACATTTGCAATGAGACAGGAAGCCATTATCCAAGCCCATATACATGGAATCAGACCAATTAATAAATTATTATTCAGCCATCTACTTCCATTGCCAGCATGGTCAAAGAAAAAACCTGGCAAAATGATTACCAGAATAGTATTTGTTCAAAAATTTAAAAATAATTGAAAAATCATAGCAAAATACACTTTTCAATCTTTCTCCTTCTTCTGCTCCTCCTCACTTCTCATCTTGTCTTTCAGAAAGCTACAGTGCTGAGGAAAAGTATAAAATTTGGATGAGACATAGATACAACAGTTGCAACAATTGCCTGGCACAACTGATGAGCCACCAATCTTTCCAAGTCAAAGTAAGTTTGCAGGTGGTGACTCTAGTAGGTTGTTGCGGGGTTGGGGGGTCATGGCAAAAAAAAAAAGTCTGTGAACAGGGTGCCTTGAGGGAGAGTTTTTGCAAGAATTAGAAGGGGAAAAGCTATTTGGTTCTCTGTGGTCTGGCCTGAGAGAACAAAATTAAACCAAGGTTCGGTAGTTAAACTTTGTTTAGCTTGGTGCAGGAGATTGACAGGATGACGTACTTCTCACAGCAAACATTCAGTGCTGTTATACACTGACAAGACAGAGAACTGTACATAGATATAGGTATCTATAGGCTTTTCCCATCTTCGGCCATTGGAGACTTGTGCTTGGTTCCGGCCCGGGGGGGGGGGGGGGGGGGGTGCCGCTGTCCCTCCACTTTCACTGCTGAAGAGCTTTGTTCGTGAACTTCCTCCTTGATTGAATTGCCACCATTTTTTGTGGCATTTCCTAATGGCTGTCTTAAATATGTCTCCGCTTAAACCAGGGGTCCTCAGACTAAGGCCCGGCCCTCCAAGGTCATTTACCCGGCCCTCGCTTAGGGTCAACCTAAGTCTGTAATGACTTGAAAGCACACAACAACAACAACAATCTTATCTCATCAGCCAAAAGCAGGCCCACACTTCCCACACTTATTGAAATACTAATAAATTTATATTTGTTAAAATTGTTCATTTTAATTATTGTATTGTTTTTAAGTGGATTTTGCACTACAAATAAGATATGCGCAGTGTGCATAGGAATTCATTCTTTTTTCCCCCCTCAAATTATAATCCGGCCCTCCAACAGGGACTGTGACCTGGCCCTCTGTTTAAAAAGTTTTTGGACCCCTGGCTTAAACGGTACCTATTTATCTACTCATGTTGCTGTTTTTGAAACTGCTAGGTAGACAGAAACTGGGCTAAAGGCCAGGAGCTCACCCTGACCAGGGCTTTGAACTGTCAGCAAGATTTACAGAAGCTGGCAGTTAACCTGCTGTGCTGAAGCCCGGTCCCTGCTGTGCTAAAGCCCCCCCCCCCCCTGCCCAAGATCCCCATTTGTTATGTTTCTGCCTGTGGGGAGATGGTTATGGCTGTTTTGTTTGGAGGGGCTTTGATTTTACTATACAAGTCTAAATCCATCCTAAGGTTGCTGGTTTGCCTATGGGCCGCAGTGTCTGTAACTTTAATCCTGAAAAGATTGGGATGGAGGACATGGTTATAGAATCATAGAATTTTGAAGTTGGAAGAGACCCCAGGCACCATCCAGTCCAATCCCATTCTGCCATGCAGGGAAAGCACAATCAAAGCACCCCAACAGATGTCTATCCAGCCTCTGTTTAAAAGCCTCCAAAGAAGGTGACTCCACCACCCTCTGTTCCATTGTTGAACAGTTCTTACAGTCAGGAAGTTCTTCCTAATGTTCAGGAGGAGTCTCCTTTCCTGTAATATGAACCCATTGCTCCATTGAGTCCTTGTAAAATGAAATCATATGCCTTCTCTTGCCCTCCAGATTTCAAGTTTCAGCCTCAGCCATCTTCTCCTAACACAGTTCTTGATTCCCTGTTGGAGAATGGGAAGGAAGGGCGCAGAGCAACCCCGCTTCTGTTGTTGTTACTGTCCCCTCTCCCTGCTCCCCACTAGCAAGGCAGGAGCCATATTGGGTAGAGATGGCTGCAGCTGAAAGCTGGACTTTGGAAGGTACTTTCAGCCAGCTTGACAGAATTTGAAAATTGCACCTGCCCTGCCCTGGCAACCCTATTCTATCATGAAGAGCCATAACCCAAATATGGGTTTACTATTTCAATCAACACTAAAACAAAGCACCTTGTACACCCAAGTTGCTGTCATGAGTCCTGAGTGAAGTACTAAGTTGTTTACCTGTTCATTCATTTGTTTTAATGCATTCACACAAACACAATATGTACAAAGGCAACAATGGTTAATGATTATGTTTGTCCTTGCCTCACAAGTAGATTTAATAAGCAACTGGAAAAGATTATCAAAATAACACTGCTAATACTGCTACATCTAATAATAATAACAATAACAAATATAATACAATTCTTATTCATTTTGTTGTCCAAATAACAATGTCTACTCCCAATTTGTAACTTCCAATCTGGGTAGAGATAACAGGAAAAGACAAATATGAACCAGGTAAAATTGGAGCTTATGCATTTATTTGTAAATTACATTTCTAGTCTGAATTTCTAGCTGTGAGTTCAGGGCAGCAGATATAGCTGTCCTCCTTGTCATAATAACAACTGTTTGAGGTTGGCAAGGCTGAGAGATAATGTGACTGAATCAAGGTCAACTAGAGTGAGTTTCATGATTTTGAGGCAGTAGAACTTGGATCATTTGCATCCAAGTCTATCAGTCTTTAATCACTGCATCATACTGGCCCTTGCTTATGCTCTGTTTGCCTGTATCTGGGTATCTGTGCAATCTCTTTCAGCTGATGAAAGTTCAAGCAATAGTAGTTCTGTTGCCAGCAGGGCAAAGCCTGTTCTTTGTTTCAGGCTGAAATTTCAAAGGATGACTGAGGGTGTTGAACCTATTTTGAGGTGTGTAGTTCAGCACCTTGGATAGGTCCTTCAAAGTACAGAACCAAACCCAGAACAGATTCACCACTGGCAGAAAAATATGGAGCCACCAGCTGTCATGACTTCCTTATGAAAACTGGAATGCCAGGATTGCATCTTTACTCCCAACTTCCCACTGCTTGTGCAAAGACTCTACTAAGCAGTCACCCATTGTGCTGTTTGCAGGGTGAGTCATGGAAGCATTATTTTATCATCCATCTGGCTATTCCCACCCCACCCTCTTTTTTATCAATTCAAGGAATCTGCACTCTGTACGTTGATGAAATTCGTAGAACTGGAAGCTGGACGACCTCTAGTCAAGAACGAATGGAGTTTCAATTTCCCACGGGAGCTTTTAAAAGTGAGTTGTGTGAATTCCGTTGTGAATCTCATGGAAGTTCTGCGGCATTGTTTATACGTTGGCCCTACTACAGATACTTGAGGAACTTGCAACAAAGCCATCAGTTTTAAGTGCTCTTTATTTAGAGGTTCAACCCAATATGCCTTCTTTAGGGCTGGGAGATACAGAAGCTTGCCTAGGGATATTCATTGTGCAATTTACATTCTTTGTCAATGAAGAAGGAGCCATCCAGGAATCAGTCAATTCTCCTCCAGGCAGGAGATCACATGACTCAAATTGAAACTTTTTGATTGGATCCCTGACTCTGTCAGTTCTTTCACTGTGCCTTCAGGCTGCTCCTAAAGCATTCCTGTTTTTTTTTAAAAGGGAGAATTGCCTTTTTTAAGTCATTTGAATCCAAAGTTTCTCGTTCTGAGACAAATATTGCCTCTGAACGTGGAAACATCTTTGTACCAACAAAGAGCAATAGCACTCTTCTCCAAAAGTACTGATGTTTTGTTATTTTAACTGATTGTACTTTATGAGCTTCAGTGTTCCTTTCTGTTGACTTCCCACTAGTTGGTGGTGGAGGGCTTGATCCCAGTGGAAGAGGATTCTTCTCTACTGATTTCTCGCTTCCAAGAATATCTGGACCATGATGATGTCCGATTCTTTGTGATGAAATTGGTGGCTGAAAATATTGGCAGTGTGATGCAGAAAGCCAAAAAGGTACCCCTTCCTGAAATATCCATATCTATGGGAACCAAATGAGGACTGCAGAAAAGGTCATTTTTGTGCCTCCTGAGTCCCACTTGGAAAAATAGAAGTGATTGTAGCATTTGAGGGGTTTTATGTGAAAATACGTTGGCTATTGCCAGGCTGCATCCTATATATCCCATCTATACATATAATAAAAGTGAAAATATGTATGTATGTGTGTGGCTGGGTTGTCCACTACACAAACAAGCTCTCACTTCTACAAATAGCTATAGCTCCCACTACCTGGGAGACACCAATGGCCCTCCCTCCAATGACATTGCAGGTTATATAGAGTGCCATAAACATGTCCAAAAGCCCTACCAATGTCCTCCACAAACACCATACAGCCCACGACGCAAGTGAAGGCTTTCATATGGGGACAATTTCATCCTAGATTTTCTGTTTTTCCTCCACCAAAGACATCCCAGTGTCACCTTACTCTCTCAATTGATGTGGAATTTGCATGACCCCACCCACTGTCTCTCCCTTAATCCTTTCCTAATCTTTTCTATGGCACACCTCAAACAGAGGATTTGATCAGCAACTGAACATACTAGAGAGGTTTGGGAGAATTCACCATGATTTGTAACAACAAATGACATGGCATTAACAAGTGTAATTTTGTTCTTTGTCATAGGGAGAAATTCCTCCCCTGCCCCCCATGGTGCTTATTCTCTCTTCCCAACATCGGAATTGCACCCCTGTTGAAACAAATTGCTTTGGATGTTCATTTGCATTTGTGTATCTTTATTTTCTTTTATCTTTCCCAAGGCTCCACTTCCAGTTTATCAGAAGAACGTTTTTGCCCTTGCCTCATCCATCAGCATGCCAAGTAATGGCAGTGAGATAAATAACTTCCTTGTAAGGCAGGGTGAGTAAAGGGGCACTGGGCTTGTTTGTGGCAGTTGCCTTTTGGAAAATTCTTATAAAAGATGCAAATTATGAAAGTGAACATTGTTAAAATTGCAAGGAAAATGTAGACAGGTTTTAAAACCAATAGGGTGTGTGAATCAGCCAATAATGCAGTCTTTCCAACAAGGGAGCTAAGATTTTCAGGAATTGTGGAGATTGGAGCTTCTTATACTTTTCCACCCAGGACCCCTTTTGGCTTGAGACATTTTTGTGTGACCCCATGTATTTAAGTATATAAAACAGGCATAAACGTCAAACATTTACTGATAGCTAATCCGTATTTGCAAGACTGGCTAAACAGGCTGGTTTTCCTTTTTATGAAGTAGAACTGAAGCATCTTCTGCAGAGTCCACTGTAAACACTGCACAACTGATCTGTGTAAATGTCTAAAAGGTGGCTTTCAGAAAATATTTTGGGAGTCCAACTTTGAGCTAAGGGGACCTTCAGTTTAAAAAGCAGTGGTATAGATTATCTTTGAGGTTATTTTGTTTATCAAAATTTTCTTTTTCACAGATCTTTACATGAAAATTCCTCCCCAGGCCATTTTTTCTCACAATATTCTGCAAGTTAAATTGCAGTTAGGTTGGATAATTAGGTTAAGAGTTCGTAGTTAGTTCAAAATCTCCCAGCAATGTTTATGACCTTAACCTTGATTTGAACCTGTGTCTCCTATGGTTGTGTCCAGAACTCTTAAATAATGTCCTGTGCTGGCTTGGTTGTACTGAAAATAGTACCTTTCTAAGAAGTCAGCCAGAACTGTGATTCTGAGACTCCAGATCATACAGCTATCCACTTCCCACAGCTATGGTTGGTTCTGACTTTTTTAAAAAATGGGGTGGGGAGGGGGGTTTATCAAGTACAATGTCGTATGTGACAGGCACTCTTACACTCAGGGTTGACAAATTGTAGCTCTCGGGCTGCATGTGGAGCCCCTCGAGGTCTGTTTTTCTGGCCCTCAATCCATTCAGAATCCATGCTCTGCCTTTTTTTGGACCAAAAAGGGATAGACCGCCTCTCTTGGAAGTTATCAAGAGAGATAGGTCACCTTTCAATAGGTTTATTTATCTATTGACAGTATTTATATTCACCCCAAAGGGGACTCAGGGCAGTTCACAGAACACATATACAGCAAACATTCAGTTCCGATTATACAATGACAAGACAGACAACAAATAGAGGTATATCTCTATAGGCGTTCCTATCTTTTGGCATCTTTGGAGGCTGTGCTCGGTTCCGGCTACAGGCGGTGCTGTTGCTCCATCTCCTTGCCAAATAATTTTTCTTTGTTTGTAAGCTTCCTCCTTTTTCCGATCCAAACGCGTACCTAAAATACCTCCCCGCTTTCATGCGGTTCCTATTTATCTATTCACATTTGTTTTCAAACTGGTAGGTTGGCAGAACTGGTAGGTTGACCTGGGTTTCGAACTATCAACCTTCCGGTTGGCAAGATTTATTGCAGCTTGATGATTACCCTGCTGTGCTAAAGCCTGGGTTGTAAGGCTATCTCTGAAGTGTTTAACATTTATGAAGAAGTATTTCTCACAATCGACAGAGCACTTACATCCAACCCCCCACCTCTTTTTTGCCAGTCAGTGTGGCTCTTGGAGGGTCCTGTGCACATCAAACTGATCCTCAGATCTACTTTGATTGTCCTGTATTAACAAGCCATTGCTTGAGATTAAAAATAAAATGGGCTGAAAATTAGACAAACATCTAGCTTTCATGGTTCCATAGATAGGCTTAACAGTTGGGGGACTATAATCTAAATCTAAATATGTGATAGGTACAGTAGGTCCATGCAATAAGAGATTTTTCACAAGTATTGACTTAATAGGTTCCTATCACTCAGTATTTGGGATTAACAATCTGATTTCGTCCAAAGTCATATTAATAACATTAAGAATTGGTGTCTCAAGCCTAGGTGTAGGGACTGGCTTGTTTAAATTAATCTGTAAGCTATTTAGGTAAGTCTTCTAGCTAATTATGTCAAGGAAGTCATCTAGCTGAATAGTGAAAAAGAGATGTTTTCAAAAAGTAAAACATTGCAAATGGAACAGCTTTCCAGAGTAGTGATGCATTTGAAAACTTCATAGAACTTTATAGAACCAGGTGATAGCTCAGGCAGAGGATATTAGGTAAGAGGACTATATGATGCAGTTCTGGAGTGGGCTGGATCCTAGTCCTGGAGAGCCTAGCCCAGATGTTCTTCACTTGGATTGATGGAAGCTCTAGGTGAAGCATAACTGCATAACTCTATAATAACTGCATAACTCTATAATAAATAATAATAAAACTTTATTTGTATATTCCCCTATCTCCCCGAAGGCAAAACATTCCATTGCCAAGAAGAAAATCATACAAACAGATTAAAATAAAAACAACATAAAACACAATAATCATACTAGAACACAACAATAAAAATTTAAACCAATTGCAGTTACAACTTCATCAGACAAGGTTCTATAAAACCAATGGCTAGGACTACAAAATGGCATTCTCTTCATTGGGGAAAAGGGAATGTAGCGTTTTCCCCATAAAGTCAAAGAGCAGCATTATCTTCCAGGAATTTAGTATATGGGTATTCACAATCCAAGGTGAGGGGCTTATTTGAGCAACTGAATTCTTTGTGCTAATGCTGTCCAAGAACTTGGTCTTCTGGAGGACAGTTGACAGACTAAAATCTATGTCCATCTAGCTCCATGAAGCAGCAAAGGTTCTTCCAAGTGTTTGGGGCAGAAATTCCTATCACCAGCTTTTTTTGATACTCCAAATGAGGGTGTTAGAAATCAAGCTTGTAACCTTCAGCAGCCAAAAAACGTTCTCTGAAACTGATGATTAGTCTTTCACTGTAATAAGTATATTAGAACTAAAATGCAATCGTGTCGCTGAGAATTTCTTTCTTTTTTCCCCACCCTGACAGCTAACCAGGAGGAGTGGAAAGTGTCAAAGTTGAAGGTATATCTTTGTTTTACTGAAATTATCCTTATTGCTACTTCTCTGAAATTGCAGATCATAGGGCAGGGGATGAAATTACCATATTTACTCGAATCTAATGTGTACCTTTTTTGGCTAAACTGTGTCTGGATCTACATTGCTCTATATATTCCAGGATCTGATCACAGATTACCTGTTAATCAATTTGAAGGACACTGTGGAGTGACAGTCCAATATTAACTAGAGGACTGTATGAATCTCAAATCTTTTCGGTCATTCCCTTTGTGGTTCTGAGGCCAGCAAAATCTTTATTAGTTCCAGCTTGCACATTTCCTGGTGCTGAAGATATTCATGATATCAGTACAACCATACTTCAGACATGCAGTCTCTTTTCCCATTATTCTCACTGGTCCCCAAATTACCAGTCACCCTCTGATTTTCTCAGCCTCACTCAGATCATTCCAAACAGCACCCCCTCTCAGCCAGCCTCCATCTTTATGCCCCATCATGTGCCAGACGTTCTGCTTACTTATTTCATTAGGCTACCATAATGAGAGACCAATTATTTTACAGCTTATTTGGCAGCAAAAGAAACTCCTGATCAAACTATAGAAGACCCCTGGGTGGTATTTGGGGAAAGTCCAGATTGTTCTGTTGGACCAGCAAGGCCCATTTTGCATGAAGCCCTTTCTCGCGCAATCCCAATGGCTGCAAGAGGATTTTCGACAGACCCCATGCTCTATTCATGTTTATTCCTTCCCTTCTTCTGTTCAGGAACACAGGGCAGCCTTTGAGAGGATGTGGCTCGGATTTCTTAAGCACAAGGTGAGTGCTAAAAGCTTTGATATTTTCCCACAAAACAAAATCTTGCTGTTCCCTCTTGCAACAGTCCAAGAGTGTGTGGTGTATGCATGTATGTTGTCCATGGAATTGTTTAAATATTTGGCATTGGAAACTTAAGAACATCAGAGGTTTCCTGCTGGGTCAGATCAAAATCTTCCCAGTTCAGTCTTCAAGCCACACAGCTGTCATGCAGTTGCTTGTGGGAAGGACATGCCTCTGGCATTGGAGGTGACATGCAAGCATCCTAATTAGTAGTATCCCTTCATGAATTTTGTCTAGTTGTCATTTACAGTTATGTTGTGGAAGTGACTAGAAAAGTCCTATTGGATCAGAATAAGCTTCAGTCTGGTTTACCATTATATTTTCAACAGTTGATAGCTTGTGAACAGAGGTGAAATCCTTGTCCCTCATACTTAAAAGTGCAGTGCCTCTGTACCTGGAGGTTACATTTATCTGTTGTCGAACCTCTATCCCACTGAAAAGGTCTGAATGAGTGTCTTCTCTTGGACCAGTAGATCCTGTCACACAAAACAAATTTGTATAAAATGGAGTCATTTGGAAGCCTTTGTTATGGGTTGAGGTATACTCACGTGCCATATCCAGAGGTGGGCAAAAAAAAAAGCCTTTATGCCCTCAGTCACTTTTTGGTCCCAGGGTTTTGGGGGTCTTTGTCCCTCGCCTCATCTTGCATGCCTCCATCTCTTTTGGTAGGCTAGGCAAACTCAGGATTCTGTCATGTGGCTTATGGCCTCTAGACCAGGGATTGGCTGGTCTGTATTCCAGTGTTCTTCACCACTGGCTGTGTTGGCTAGGCTCAATGGGAATAGTCCAGCCTCCAGAGGACAACACTTTAGGGACCACCATTCCCTAAACTATGTCATGTTTAAGAAGCTTCATAGCATTATCAAAAAATGTACATTATTGCAATGGTTTTGTTGGGGGGGGGGGAGTCTTGTGCCTCTCATATTGTTATTGTTGTTGCTATATTTATATCTGACTTTTATATCTTATTCAAGATACAAAGAGGCTCACAGCATTAAAAGACAAGGCAATTTACAATCCATAGCATATAAATATTAAAATAGACTTAAACATAGAAGTTGATTAAAATTGATTTTTTGTTTTAAAAGCCTCCCTGAATAGAAAGTTCTTAGTCAGCCACTGGAAGGACAGCAGGGACGGGACCATTAGGACTTCCCAGGGCAGGGGGTTCAAGAGATGAGGGGCAGCCACTGAGAAGGTCCTTTTCTCTGATGTTCCCCTCAAGAATTGTGTTTGCTATGTGAGAGAAGGACCTCTCCTGAGGATCTCAGGGCCAGGAAGGTTCATACAGGGAGATACAACCATCCAAATAGCCTGGACCTGGGTCATAGAGGGTTTTATAGGTAATGAGCAGCACTTTGTCTTGTGTCCGGAAACAGTTTTGCAGCCATTTGAGCTGTTGCAACAGGGAGATTGCTCTCTGTAGCCAACCCTAGCCAACAATCTGGCAATAGCACTTTGGACTGTCATCTTAAACATGCTCTAACTTGTGCTTGGATCAGATTCTCTTTGAGTCTTCCGACAGCACCCGAGAGCAATTTATGTCTCTCTTCCTGGCCGTTTTAGAAATCCCAGGGAAATCCCCACGAGCCTTCCAGATCCACCAGCCTCCTGGGCAGACCATCCTAATTGCTTCCTACCCCACCCCTATGGAGGTTTTGAGTCCCAGTCTAAACCTGACCAAATAGTGATCTGTCCACGACAATAGTGCAACAGAGAACTTTTCCATTCCCAGATCACCATCATCCCCACCCCCAGTACAGAACCCGAGGTCTAGAAGTGGGGCCAGATCCTATTTGGGACAGACCCATGTTTGTTAAGGTGGACATGAAGTCCTGAGCCACTCCTGAAAGCATGGATCTTGGAAGTCTCCCTGCACTAATAGCTGCTGAGACTCCCCAATGTCAACGCCAAAACCACCCCGGCTAACTTAAGAAGGGAGGCAGCTGAGCAGCGGGGTGGGCAATACACCAACATAATCCCTATTCTGTGCCAGATACCCATCTTTAGATATAAACAGACTGTGGGGGAGGGCACCTGATCAGGGGGATGGAATCACGATAGACCACTGCCACTCCACCTAACTTTCCCCAAGATCTTGCCTGCAGTACAGAAAAACCTGGTGATCAGAGAGAGATTACCCCCCCCCCCCCCCCCCCCCCCCCCCCAGTCCCATCCAACCAGATCAGCCTTCTCATCCAGAATCAGATACTGGGTAGTGCTTGTTTTTCCATTTACTGACAAAGCATTCGGCGGCAGCATTTTGAACCCTGGGGGCTGTCACCCTAATCATCAAGATTATTTGATCTGAGAGACATCATCTGTAACTCAATTTGTGAGTTGGTTAATCTGTGCATAAATCTATCACTGCCTCCTGGAATGATTGGAATGAAATGGCAGGACTGTTTGTGTGGAGTAGTCTTTATGACTGCTGTGATGCTTTGGTGAATGGTAGATCCCTTGTGTCTGGCACCTGGAAGAAATTCAGCTGCTGCATCTGCCCCTCTCCCACTTCTTCCTCTTCAGCTCCCTGGCTCCCTCTACAGAAAGGTATTGGTAATACTTCATGAGTCCATCCTACCTCATATGAATGAGCCTGTCCTTCTAATAGACTTCCTCACAGTTGCCTACAATGTCGGTAAGTAGAAAAATCATGCTGTAAATTAGTTAAGAAACTATGTTGTTGAACTACCAGAGTATCCGTGGGCTTGTGCTCTACATTATGTGAGTAGCCAGTGTAGACACAGGTGCTCAGAAATGATATCTGCCTTGGGGTCTATAGCACGCACCTAAAGAATCTATGCTCTGGCATATAGTCAAACCTGCATTCTTTTCTTTTCTACCTTTCATTGTGGATCACAAACATGGCTCCTTTGAGGAATATTGACCATATGAGCTTTCACTAGATCCGAGCTTTAGATACTCATGGCAGCTCTCGTGACTCTTCTGTACCTTTTAGATCTCTCTCTCTCTCTCTTTTTTTTTTTTTTTACAAAATAAGGAGTAATGTGGCTTTTTGATTTTATTAGCCAACTCAGTCTTCAAATGACATATTTCATTCCCAAGTAAAATGTTTCACTTACAGATCCTCATGTTTCTCTTACAGGTGGAGCCATCAGCCTCCTTGCCTTGAATGGGTTGTTTGTCCTGATTCTTCACCATAACCTGTAAGTTCTTTTGCTTCCCCACATGCTTTTCCTAAAGGGCAATCTGAACTATCTGAAGCTTGTCAATTGTAGTTTGTTCCTACTTTCAGATCTTAATATTTCCAAGTCCAATTTTGACATTCAAATTCTCACTCCATGTGCTAATTTGTCCACTCATAAGCAGCTTGTAGGAACTAGTGTTGAGCATTCTTCAATAACTATGTTATTATTTTGTCATTTACTTCATTTTTATCCTTCCTTCCTTCTGATATAGAGACTCAAGGTACCTAACAGTAAATGTTAAACAGAGCTAATTAAAAATACTGTGCATGCATTAACATATAAATATAAAAATGGAAAACAAACAATTTCTGTTGCTAAAACTATTAGACATTAAAATAGTAAAATGTATAAAAACTTGATACTCACTTTAAAATCCCAATCCCGCAATTTTTTAAAAGTTGGCCTCTCATCAATCCATAAGTGTTTGATGGCAGAGAAATATTTACACCTGCCAATCAAAGGCAAGCAGAATGGGGCCATCCTGGTCTCTCATGGGAAGGAGTGCCAGAGTCTGGGAGCAGCCAGCAAAAAGGCCCTGTCTTCCTTTTTCCCACCAAACACGCTTGAGCCAGGTGGTGGGACAGAGAGAAGACCATCTCCAGGTGTTCACCTGTTTCTTGCATCTCTTTTTTTGTCTAGGGAATATCCCGATTTTTATAAGAAGCTCTACAGTCTTCTCAACCCATATATTTTTTATATGAAGTACCGCACTCGATTTTTCCGTTTGTTGGATTTATTCTTGTCTTCATCGTAAGTATGTCTTTGATAGAAAATGCCACAAGTTGTCATATGATTTCATGGTCTGATAAACTAAGTTAGATGATGGTCCTGTGCAGAGCAGAAGTTCTAAAAGCTGCTAATGGAAGGGAAATGAGCCCATTGAGGCAGCCAGGCCGTGTGGAGGAGGATGAAAGAAAGTAGCTAAGCAATGGAAGAGGAGGGATGAGGACAGGCAAATGAGGTATTTTTAGGGTGAAGGAGGAGAAGAAACCCTGCCAGCCTCTCTAGGCATTTACTAGGTATCTATTTACTAGGTACTCTAGGCATTTACTAGAGTTTGCCTTTCTATCACAAGGGAAGGCAGAGCTTAGATTGATTGGTGGAAAACCTACCTATTGCAGGAAATGGAAGGACAAACCCAACCCAGCATGTCCTCTGAACATTACACAGATTTATCATTTCGCAGCAAGTGCCAAGAATCCTTTCTCTGTCCTTGGGGAAAGAGCCATCCATGAATGTCTTATATTCCTTCTGCCACCCAGGCAAGGCTAAAGAATTGCAAAGCTGACTCTTTAGACCAGTGGTTCCCAACCTCTGGTCCTTCAGGTGTTTTGGACTTCAGCTCCCACAATACCTAACAGCTGGTAAGCTGGCTGGGATTTCTGGAAGTTGAAGTCCAAAACACCTGGAGGACCAGAGGTTGGGAACCACTGCTTTAGACCAGTCGTTTTGGGGTGTGTGTGCCCAGTAGGCCAGAAACCAGCACTCTGTTTGTTCTCATTGGATTGGTTTCTTGTATTTCCGAACCTGGCAAGCAGTAGCTCTGGCAACATCACCAGTTCAGGGACCATCACTTTGAACAAGTGTTGTTGCTCCTTGTTGGCTCTTCCTGCCACTTCTTTTATCATGCCTTCATTCAAAACATGTTGTAGTCTGGCTCTTCTATTTTCTAGCACTTATTCTTGATCTCTGATTTCTGTTTTCCTTCCTCTGCTTTGCCTTCCTTTCTGATATCCATAATAGTAACAACAACAACAACCCTTGTGTCTCTTTACCATTTCCAGCCCTAAAGCCTCTCCCTTTTCCATACGCTTACCTGGAAGTTGTAAATGGTGCAATGTCAGTCTGCTGGAGAAACTCGGTGTCACTGCACCTCAGATTGCCTTCCCATTTACATGCTGGTCATAGAAGTTGATCCCCAGTCAACATCAGATACCAAAGCAGTCGAGACGGAGCACCCTGTTTGTTGAGCTCATTTGCTCAACAAGTGGCCACTTTTTGTTTTAGGGGGGACAGTTTCCTTGGTGGTGGTGGGCAGATGCCAGTCTCTGCTGCCTGAGAAAGAAGGAGCACCAGAGGCAGAAGCAGAGCTAAATGTAGGTGTTTTGGAAGGATGAATCATCAGTGAAACAAATTGGAGGTTTTCTAATTGGATATGCTAGAAACAATAAGCATATCCCTACTATAGCAAATGCACCCCGGAGTTATAACTCACGTCATTTTTTATGGTAAAGTAGGCCAGCATGTACCTTCAGCAATTCAAGTTTTTAATGCTAACATTTACCAAAAATGTTATATGGAGCACAACTGTGTGCATTTAAAAGTGTCGAGGCTTTAGAAGCCATCCAAACAAACAAAATTCTTAAGAAGCATCCTTAGCCTTCCAAGCTGTGCGCCGAATGTAATTTTACTTCTAGAGATGGGTGAGATCTCTGTTGAGTCTCGGATCTGGATGTATAAACTAAATTTTTGGTTAAAACCGATGCTTATGCCTAAAGGTTTGGCCCCATTAAACCTCGGTGATCCATTCCAATCAAGGTGGAAAAAGTTAGTTGATGAGAAAATCCCAAACCTTGGATTTTCACCAAATACCTTCCTAACTGTGGGCTACACAAAAGCCAAAGAAAACATACGACCGTGTATCTGGGACACTGAGCTGCAAAACTATCTAAATGCAGCCTCAATTCTTCCAGTCTTTAAAGACAATGGAAGGGGGCTTCTGCCTGCAGAGTACTTAGGCAACCTAATTATCCCAAAACAAAGGAAGGCGTTCTCTTTGGCTTAATTCAATGTACTCCCTTCTGCTTTTCTTTTCTTTTTTTTTTTTTGGTCATGTTAGGAGCAACTTGAGTCTGCAAGTCACTTCTGGTGTGAGAGAATTGGCCGTCTGCAAGGGCGTTGCCCAGGGGACGCCTGGATGATTTGATGGTTTTTTTTTATCAGCCTTGTGGGAGGCTTCTCTCATGTCCCCGCATGAGGAGCTGGAGCTGATAGAGGGAGCTCATCCGCCCCTCCCCGGATTCGAACCTGTGACCTGTCAGTCTTCAGTCCTGCCAACACAGGGGTTTAACCCACTGTGCCACCGGGGCTCCCCTTCCTTCTGCTGTGCTGGAGGGAAGATATAACAAAAGTACCATACGATGAACGCCTATGTCCCTGTGAGGCTCAATCAGTGGAAACTGTGGTGCACGTTATGTTCTACTGCTCTTTTTACCGAGACCTTTGTAAACATTTTATAATTCTAATTTTAGAAAGTTTACCAGGGAGATCTGTAAGATTTTATGTTGATTGTCTTTTGGGTGGCCAACACCCCAAAAGTACTGCTAAAGTTGTTAGCTTTTGTGCAGCAGCAATAGCTTGTCAGCGCAAGATGCTGTCATGCAGGTTTTCATATTTATTTCATTTTTTAACATTGTCATTTTAGCATATAAATGTTCAATACTGTTTTAACTAACATATTAAAAAAAAAAGAAATGACAGATTTATAATGGGAGGGACAATTTGATGCAACGCAAGCTATAGCCATTCAGAGGTTATGTTCATCCTGGTTTTTGTTTGAGTTTTCAGTTAAGAAGTGCTTGAAAATTGCACCCCAGGAGAACGTAACCTTCTACAATTTGATGACCAGATTAATAGACAGTTCGGTATTCAAGATAGGTTCCTGACTGCATTCCTGATACTAGACATGATTTAACTCCTCTGGACTCCCAGGCAGTATATTCTGCTGTTGAACAGCTCTCTCAGGACATTTTTCTTAATATGAACATAAAAAACTGCCTCATGGTGTCAGGTCAATATTGGTCACACTGATTGAAATCAGCCCTCTTGCTCTTTCAACCTGTTCTTACCATTTCCCTGCTTTCTTTTATTGAGGTGGTCATAGCTTTTTTAAAAAGTGACATTTCCACAATATGGACTGGTATAACAGTGGGGTGTGTGGAGAAAATCTTTTTGCTGCCATTGACTGTTCTTCCTCTTCTATAGGCATTTGCCAGCATATTTGGTGGCGGCCTTTGCCAAGCGGCTTGCTCGACTGGCACTCACAGCACCACCAGATGGTTTGCTGATTGTCATCCCATTCATCTGTAACCTCTTACGGCGCCACCCCTCTTGCAAGGTGCTCATCCATAGGCCTGACTACCCTGCAGGTGAGGGAGGAAGAAGACTCCACCAGGGACCTTTTTCTGCACATTCAGTGGCTCAACAGATGTTGGGAGTGACTTGTTTATTTCACCCTATGCATCCTTATTTGTTATGTTTCTATCCCATGTTCCTCCAGGGAGCAAACACAAGTCCCAGTACCTGCATTATCCTCAGGACTTTGGGAATCCTGGTTAAGTGGGGAATAAAAATGAAAGGGCCATATAGTCTAACCTTACACGGTGCAAGAAGAAACAACTAAAGGACTCTGCCTCAGTTTAAAGTCCTCCATTGAAGCGGAGTTCACCACTATCTGTGGCAGAACAGAATATGACAGTTATTTCCCTGGATCTGCACACATTACTCCCATTGATGCAGCCTGGAATTTCTCAAGTCACTCCTGACACACACACACACACACACACACACACACACACAAAGCCTGGAATTGCCTTGGCTTTTTGGGCTGCTACATCACACATCTGGCTCATGTTTAGCTTGTGGTCTGCTAAGGTTTCTAGATCCCTTTCCCATGCATTCTTATTCAAACCAAGTATCACCTGTCCTATATTTGTGTGTTTCATTTTTCCTGCCTAAATGTATACCTTATATTTCTCCCTGTTGACATTCATTTTGTTTGATTTGACTTGGATTTCGATCTGTTAATGTCATTTTAAATCTTGATTCAGTTCTCTGGGATATTAGCTGTCCCCTTTAGTTTGATGGCATCTGCAAATTTCATGAGCATGCCCTTTATGCCTTCAAATCCAGTAAGCTTGTGCTCTATACAGAAAAAAATGACAAGATTAGCTTGGCATGACTTGCTTTTTTTTTTGTTGAAAAAATATATATTGAGGCTCACTATCACAGCATTTCCTAATTGCTCACAGACTGTTTAATCTGTTTCCTGGTATAAACATCAAGGCCAGAAGTTCCTTGGGCCCCTTTTAGTCTCTTTTTGCAATGATAGAGACAGTATCTGCCCTTCTCCAGTCTGCTAGCCCTTCTTGTTTGCTGAGAGTTTTCAAAGATTATCAACAGGGGCTCTGTGTCTGTTTCGTACCCTTGAATGCATTTCATCTGGCCCTGGACCAGTGGTTCTCAGCCCAGGTGTTTTGGCCTACAACTCCCAGAAATCCCAGCCAGTTTACCAGCTGTTAGGATTTTTGGGATTTGAACGCCAAAACATCTGGAGACCCAAAGGCTGAGAAGCACTCCCCATTTAGAAATTATTCCTGAAAGATATTCTACTAACTTTCTGCATACAGTAGAGTCTCACTTATCCAACATAAATGGGCTGGCAGAACATTTGATAAGCAAAAATGTAAGAAGGGATTAAAGAAAAGCCTATTAAATGTCAATTAGGTAAAGGTAAAGGTAGTCCCCTGACATTAAGTCCAGTCATGTCTGACTGGGGTGTGGTGCTCATCTCCATTTCTAAGCCGAAGAGCCAGTGTTGTCCATAGACACCTCCAAGGTCATGTGGCCAGCATGACCACATGGAGCGCCGTTACCTTCCCGCCGCAGCGGTACCTATTGATCTACTCACATTTGCATGTTTTCGAACTGCTAGGTTGGCAGAAGCTAGGGCTAACAGCGGAAGCTCACGCCGCTCCCTGGAATCGAACCTGCAACCTTTTGGTCAACAAGCTCAGCAGCTCAGTGCTTTAACCCACTGCGCCACCAGGGGCCTCTATAAATGTCAATTATGTTATAATTTTACAATTTAAGCACCAAAATCGACAGAAAAAGCAGTTCAGTGACATTATGTAGTAATTACTGTATTTACGAATTTAGCACCAAAACACTGCAATGTATTGAAACAGCTGTGGATCCAGGTGGGAGAGGTAGGCTGCGATGGATAATACAGAACATTGGATGAGTAAAGGTTGGATAAGGGAGACTCTACTGTATTTTGTGCTTCAGTCCTTAATTCTCTTTCTAATCTTCTGTAGAGATGTTAGAAGATCCCTATGTGATGGATGAAGAGGATCCTTCTGAAAGCAGAGCTTTGGAGAGTTCCCTATGGGAGATAAAAGTATGTCCCCCTCTTAAGAGTCTTTCTTAAAGCAATGCAGAATGGGGTGGTGGGTTTCTAAAGTGTGTACCACTCTGAATACTAGGGATTATGCTTTCGGCCCTACAGAATAATGAAATTAATCCAGCCATTTAAAAAGCCAGCTCATTTTCATAACTTCTGCCATGTGGTAGTTTGTTATGTACAGGAAAAGAACTACATTAAACCCTTGAGGTTGGTGTGCACAGATGCCACATTTCATTGCATAATAGACTTTTTAACCCTTTTTTGGCTAAAAAAATGGGGCTGGTGACTATTCTGCAGTGAAAAAAAAATCCGACTATAATTGAAATTGAGTGAAGCCCTGTAGTTGGAAAGGGGTGAGTAAAGCTTCACTTTTCTGTGTGCCCACCCCTTTGAAAAGAAAGCAAAAGAAAGGGTGCAGGTACATGGGTAAGTCACTCACCCATGCCTCCTTTTTGTTCCTTTCCTTCCTTCCCCCTCCCCTAAGGGGTGGGCTGCTGGCCGAGTGAAGCCCCGTAGATCCAAGGGGGCAACTATTATGTGATGAAAGCAAAACTATCATATGGTAACAATTATTCAATGAACTACAGTACTTATTTTGTAAGCAAAAGTTTTAGAGCAGTGTTTCGCAACCTTCCTAATGCTGCAACTTCTTCATACAGTTCCTCATGTTGTGATGACCCCCAACCATAAAATTATTTTCGTTGCTACTTCGTAACTGTAATTGTGCTACTGTTATGAATCGTAATGGAAATATCTGATATGCAGGATGTATTTTCATTCACTAGGCCAAATTTGGCACAAATACCCAATATGCCCAATTTTGAATACTGGTGTGGTTGGGGGGGGGGGGTTGGTTTTGTCATTTTGGGAGTTGTAGTTGCTGGGATTTATAGTTCACCTACAATCAAAGAGCATTCTGAACTCCACCAACGATGAAATTGAACCAAACTTGGCACACAGACCTCCCGTGACCAACAGAAAATACTGGGAAGATTTGATGGGCATTGACTTTGAGTTTTCAAGTTGTAGTTCACCTACACTCAGAGAGCACTCTGGACTCAAACAATGATGGATCTGGACCAAATTTGACACGAATACTCAATATGCCCAAATGTGAACACTGGTGTAGTTTGGGGAAAATAGGCCTTGACATTTGGGAGTTGTAGTTGCTGGGATTTATAGTTCACCTACAATCAAAGAGCATTCTGAACTCCACCAATGATGGAATTGAACCAAACCTGACACACAGAACCCCCATGACCAACAGAAAATACTGGAAGGATTTGGTGGGCATTGACCTTGAGTTTTGGAGTTTTAGTTCACCTACATCCAGAGAGCAGGAGGAGGGCTTTTGGTAGGAGGATTCACCATCTGTTTCCAAAAAGGAAGAGAAGCACAGGCGGAGAGATCTTCAGCCTTCTCGGCCAAAGGGGTTCCTAAGACCATCAAAGATATGTTTTTTCTGATGGTCTTTGGCAACCCCTCTAAAAACCCCTCATGACGCCCCCCCCCCCCCACCCAGGGGTCCCAGCCCTCAGGTTGAGAAACACTGGTTTAGAGAAAAGTTTAAGGGAGCTCTCTTCCTGATAAGCTTGCTGAGAATGGGGCAGATATTTGCACTTTAGTGCCGCTTTCCATTTATATGATGCTTTCTTGTTGTTCTTAGACTCTTCAAAGCCATTATCATCCAGATGTGGCCAAAGCAGCCACAGTAATTAACACCTCACTGTGTGAGATGGAAGATGACTTATCAGAGGTCTTGGAATTGACTGCTTTTGAGGTAATGTATTTTTCTCATAAACAATGCATCCCTTTAGCATGGGGAGCCCTCGCAGAAACAAAAATTTGTTTCTCCTATAACAACAATTTATTACTTACCTCTCCTTGCGGCTGGATTTCTTCCTCACAACAGGTTTGGGATTGATCCAAGTTCACCCAGGGAGTTTCATGACCAAATGAAGATGTGAACCCCTGTCTTCCAAGTCCTACACTCTAAGAACTGTGTAATAGTGGCTCTATATCATTACCTTTAAGGTCATGAAGCCCCCAGTGGCGCAGTGGGTTAAAGCACTGAGCTGCTGAGCTTGTTGATCGAAAGGTCGCAGGTTCGATTCCGGGGAGCGGAGTGAGCTTCCGCTGTCAGCCCTAGCTTCTGCCAACCTAGCAGTTCGAAAACATGCAAATGTGAGTAGATCAATAGGTACCGCTCCAGCGGGAAGGTAATGGCGCTCCATGCAGTCATGCTGGCCACATGACCTTGGAGGTGTCTACGGACAACGCTGGCTCTTCGGCTTAGAAATGGAGATGAGCACCACACCCCACAGTCAGACATGACTGGACTTAATGTCAGGGGACTACCTTTACCTTTTTTAAGGTCATGAAGCACCTTGTATGCATAGAGAGAAATCTAGGGCCTTGGAGGGGGGGGGGTGTGCATGTTGGCTCTCATAGAATTTTAGATTCCTTTTTTTCATTTTGTGTTCTCTGATGAGAGTCAAATAGAATGCTTGGAGGGGCACGAGGTTGCCTACCCCTGTCCTAAAGACTCAAAATGCTGCACTTGGATTACCAGTGAGGCTAAAAACTATCCATCCTGGAGAGTATTAGCAGTTATTTCAGTCTAAATTTCATATACACACACTTTCTGGTATTATCCCTGCAAGTGTAGAGGCATTTGATTTGGAGGGAGGGGGCAGATGCTGTATGGATTAACCCAAATTCAGCACAATGTGATATGTATTTCTTTCTTGACATCCCAGATGTTTGACAGAGACATAAAGAAAGAAACCACAGATGTCTCGTTGGAATTTCATCAAGTACAAGGTCTCTTTGGCAAGAAGGACAATGTTTTTGCAGAATATTTTACACTGGAATGATTTTTAATTCCTTTATTAATGATTATAATAAAATGTATTGCTCTTTTTAAAGGGTTAGTGCATTATGTGTTCTTTAATATGCAATGTAGGCTCCTAGTAATGCAGTTTGGTGCATTACTAGGAGCCCTCAGTGGTGCAGTGGGTTAAACCCTCATGCTGACAGGTTGGAGGTTCAAATCCGGGGAGAGCGTGGATAAGCTTCCTCTGTCAGCTCCAGCTCCCCATGCAGGGACATGAGAGAAGCTTCCCACAAGGATGGTAAAACATCTAAAACATCTGGGTGTCCCCTGGGCAACATCCTTGCAGATGGCCAATTCTCTCACACCAGAACTGACTCGCAGTTTCTCAAGTTGCTCCTGACACAAAAAAGTGCATTACTTAGAATTCTTTGCTAGGCCATTCCGGGGAATTGGATTAGAGCCCCACGTAACTTATTTACAAAGATACTGAGATCACTGCCTCCCCCTGCCCTGAATTTGTCCTAGAAATGAAAGTTATGGAAAGACCATTACCATGGAAAAAGTTGGCACATTTTCTATTTTATTCACTGGTATTATTGTTGTCAAAAACCAGGACCCCAAAATCCATGACCAAGAGGGGTCCAATTGGATAGCCATGAAGGATCCTGGTACCTGTCATTCAAGAATATCCTTTTCCCCATATACACAGTGACACAAGTACACCCAAGTGGGACACCGGGCTAATCCCATCACTCTTCCAGGCAGTTGGCATAAACATCCAATACCCATCCTTCTTGACCAACAGTGAACCCTTCCACCCAACAATGAATTCATCCCCGGACAGCCTGACAGGTTACTGAGTCACCCAATTACCTGTCTTTGTCTCCTTCGCCCTATCTTTGTCTCTCTTGGAGAATCCATCCAGGCGTTTGGTCCTCATTGTTTCCTCAGTTGAGATTCATTGTGGAATTCCGGCTGGCAGAATTAGAATAATTCAAAACCAACACCCCAGGATCTTTCCTTAAGCAACCAAAGGAGATGGATACAGAAAATGGTGATAGACTTCATACTGAGCGATGACAGTTTATTAAATTTCTCACCAGACCAGGGAACCAATCAGCACCAGCAGTGGGTAGCGCACAGATCGTGACCTGCACAAGTCAGTGCCTGGCGCAGCAAAAGTCCATTTTTTTCAAATTGATGTGAAGTTTCTATAAATGTCTGTGTCAGTATCCATTGCCTTTATGCCTGATTTGGGAGTATTTTCTTCCCCGACATCCACTTTTGGCCGAAGTGAATAAAAATTCTGATCTTGCCTTCATCCTGTCTGTGTCTCATTTGAAACTTTGGATCCTAAGCACAAAGGGAACCTGAATCCGTGGTTCAATGGAGCTGAAAACACAACAATATGGCCACTCAAATGGGACTGACATTGGACATGTCCTAATTCAGCCTTGCCCATTCCAGTCTAGTGATCTCCAGGGGAAACCCTCTTCTCGATATTATCATTAAAAGAGCACTATCCTGACTCATTTGTTGTCACCGATCTGTCCCCTCTAGAATGGACTAAACTTTGAGGTCTTGGCTCAAACGTGCAATGCTCCAAAGGCAGGACCAGATGCTGAAAACACATTATCAATGGAAACTCCCAGGCAAACACACTGGAAATGTAATATACATGACCTTTTATGTTGGCTTAATTTATGTACAGGGTATTTTGTTCATAGTAGTTAATGCCACATGCTGAAGTGATGGGATTTCCCAGCCCACTCAGATAGGAAGTATAATAGAAAAGGCACAGGTTTCTGTTCACCATAGGAGTTGTGCATCAACCAGCAACTTAAAGCTAACAAATCCTCCCATCACAAGACCATCATGAGTCCCTCAAACCTATCCCAAATAAGGAAGGAAAGCACGGTTTTGCGGTCTGTTGCTGTCTTTTCAGTCATTTCAAAGAGTTCCAAAAAGCACAAAGCTTGCACAGATCTGTGTCATCCAATGATAGCAGGATAGTTTAGACCCAGTTCTCATCAAAGTCATAGACCTTATTCCAGGGCTGCAAGTGGGGATTCACATAACTGAATAGTCTTCCATACAAAACATTTCTCCAACCACGAAAAACCTGCACATGAAGGAAAATGGTCTTAGTTGAGCAAGCCTATCCCCCCCAGAAATTCCAGCTTTCTCTATGCAGGGATAAGTTTTAATGGAGAATAAGCTGATCATGTGAGCCTTCACTTCCAACTTGAAGTGGCATACCATAGGCATACCATGGCCTTAAAGAGGAAGCAATCGTCAGAGCTCCTTTAAAAACCATATGATCAATCATTTATAACCATGGACACATTTCCCCTTCTGCTTAGATGTCTCCTAATAGTTTCTTCCAACTTACAGCTCTTGGAGGTGCACCCATAAGTTGGTCAAAGGATTCCAGGCTCATCTTTTTTTTCTGTCCAAATTCAATGTTGACCATGTTTTATCCAGTTTCTGATCACCCATTTTTGACCTGAGCATCTTTGTACTACTAATCTGAGCCCAAAATTGGCATCCTTGGACATTTCTACTTCTAGACACCGACCTGTGTCTCGGCTGATGATTGGACCATTCTGTAAAAGAAGGAAGATAAGGAATACTGGAAGTGGTGAACTTAGATCAGTGGTTCCCAACCTGTGGTCTGTGGAGCACCAGTGGTCCGCAAGAATGAAAATATGGCCTGCAGCCTCACTGCTGTCTCGAAACCATGCAGCAACTGGAGCGACTGGTTTCATGTAACCCTCTTATAGTACCAAGGCAATGGAGATGTCGGGAAGAGAGAGGCTGACTACTCACAAAAGATTACTACTATCACATCAGCTCTAGATTGTTAAATATGGTTTTCTCTGGATGAGCAGATGGTGACTACTGGATGGCATGTGTTCTGTACCAGAAACTAGAGCTAATGTGGTTTATCCAATGCAATTTTCTGAATCAGCACCCCAAAAAACCAAACCGAATATAAAGTTGACCAAAACTGATTCATAACCCTTTTGTTACTAATGTTGGAGAGTGGTCCTTGGTCAAAGTGGTCCTTGGTCAAGTAGTCCCTGGTCAAAATAAGATTGGGAACCACTGACTTAGATAAACATAGAATTCCATGTTTCACTGCATAATTTTCAAAGATTTTCTGACAAATTTTCCCCCAAAAGGGAAGTGTAACCATTAAGCAACGCTTATTTTAAAAAACAGGGGGCAGGTAGCCCTTAAGTGACTTCCAGGCAGGCAATGAATGATTGCTCCTTCCCATTCAAGCAAAGCCTCAGGTCAAGGGTCTGGGGCAAACCGAATTATACCATGCAATGATTATGCAATGAAAGTGTGAAAAACAATTTAGGAGTGCGACAATATGTAGTGGCTACGATTATGTGGTGAAATGCGGTAACATTTGAAAAGGGAAGAAAAAATATATTCAATATTGGCATATATTACAGAACACAGTGAACTCGTACATCCACTGACTTACTTGCTGGAGTATATTGAATGCATTGTTACTAATGAGGACAGAAAATTGGTCTTATATTTGACCGCTTGATATTTGAGAAACTGTGTACCTAAATCAGAAGGAATTAAATGTTCACTGACTCAGAAACACCTAGAACTTTAGCTGACCAAGGAGAAGCTGCAAGGGACCATGTTGCAGAGGAAAATTCATCTAATAATGAGAAACATAGGAATTTAGTCTGACACCTGGATGACCATATAAAATGGCATGGCAGGTTGGATTTTGCCCAGAGACCTTGAGTTTGACACATGTGCATTAGAGAGAACATGTCATCTTTCCCCTTTGATGTTGATCAAGCTGAGAGAAAAGGCTGTGGCCCCATCCACAGTACAATATAATGCAGTTTGGAACTGTATTATATGGTCAGTGTAGACTTACTGCATTATATGAGTTTACACTGACCATATAATGCAGCTCCAAACTATGTTATATGGCAGATATGGCCAAAACAAAATCTTTAAATTAGAAACTCCATTTTAAGATAGGAACGTTAGGATGCTAATCTAAGCCAACTCTATTCCAGGAAAGCGGGAAGATACTTTATTTATTTACAGTATTTATATCCTGCCCTTCCCACCCCGAAGGGACCTCAGAACAGCTTTTAGAGAACACGCATATGTCAAACATTCAATGGCAATTATGCAATTAACAAGGACAGGCAATACAAACAGACGTAAAGGCAGTTTTTTCCATCTTATTTCCGGCATCTTGAAGGCTGTGCTCGACTCTGGCCATGCTGGGGGGGGGGGGTTGCTCTCGCTCCATCTTTCATGCCGAGGAGCTTTCCTCTGATCAATGTCCTTAAGGGCACCTTTATTACCTCCCCGCTAAATGTGGTACCTATTTACTCAAATTTCTGCTTTTGACCTACTAGGTGGGCAGGTGAGCTGGGGATAACGGCAGGTGCTCACCCCGACCTGGGTTCAAAGTGCCAACCTTTTGATTGGTAGGATTTTTCTACAGCTCAGCAGTTTAGCCTGGTATGCTAAGCCCGGTCTTTGGATCACTCATAGTATCTAATCCTATCACTACTGCCTGTGATGATACGTTCTTCAGTACTAAATCTTGTTGCTCAGCCAACAAATTGTGCATCTGGTTCCACTGTGTATGTGACAGGTATTGTGCATGTAGCTGTAAATTTGCAGTTGTTTGTGCATTAGGTTGCAAACTTGTGCATGCATTCAGCAGTGTCATTCAATATAAAAAGTGTATAGTGCATTCAATGTGCAATTTTATATGCAGAGGTCTATGCAGTGTAGCCCTAATGTAGAATATCAACCAGTATACATTGATATATTCACTCTACAATACCTGTGTGAAATCCCACAGCTTCTGAGCCGACCTCAGAGTGTCTTCACATTTTTTAAGTACTGGAGTCCTTCTTTTCCCATCATCCATGAGACATTTGGAATCGGGCAGAAAAGTTGTAGATCCCAAAGGACCCAGCTGCAGAAGTCCTTCAGAGCTGTAACGAACAAGCTAGGGAGCAAAACCCAAGGAAAAACAATAACATGGTCAAGTCATATTTGCCAAAAAGAAAGATAAAACCTATATACCTGGGGTTATGGAAGAATTTCTTGGGCCATAAGGGGTCCCAATTGGAAATGTTTAAGAAGCCCTGCACTGGAGTACAGAAAGCAGATTAACCCGTGCTTTTAATATCATTTTTTTTGAATAAACATAAAAGAAAAATGGAATAAACATATCAGAAAAGCAAGCTACACAGCAAACTACAAAAATAGAGGCAAACTAAGGAAACAATGCCTAGACACACACCTAAACTACCCAAATATAAGAAAGCTACAACTAACAAAACAGGAAAAAAAGATGACTTCCAACTATTTTAACTCTCAAACCCGACCTTCTCTCAACTTTGTCTAATTTAAACCAACAGCTTCAACTTGCTTTTCAACTTAAGGGATGTGAAATTGCACCTACCTGGGAGGACATTCCATGGCATGGGTAGAGAATTGCTTTGTCATCGTCTTCAGCTCCCTGGTCCAAGCAGTAGCCACTGGCTTTGTTGTTACGTACCTGAAATCAAAATTGGAAGTGTGTATGCAACAGGGGAGATTGGAGTTTCTATGACTCTAAAAGTCAATGGTGAATGAGTTGAACAGGAATCCTGTAGCACCATCCCCTCTCTAGGAAAGAATGACGCCATGGTACCTCCAAGTCCCATCCCAGTGATGTGATCTAGAAGACAACCATAGTCGATGTTTTCGGCAGCTGCTGAGAGTTCCAGCAGAACCAACAGGGATAAATTGGTCATTGTCTATGCTAGCAATCCATAAGTGATGGTATTATTACCTCTCCATAAGTAATGGTATTATTGTAAATCCTCATTTCGGAATAGACATTCTCCAAGTACCACTTAAAACTCCGGCATTGAAGACGTTGACGCAAAGCGACTCTTTCAGAAACGTCTCCAAAGTCAACTCCGGGATTCTGCAGCAGTAGGGACACATAAATAGAGCAATTCTATTAGGCGATTGATTTTACTGCTTAAAGAACATTTTCAAGTGGATTCCTCTACCTATCCCCCGCCAACCCTTGGTGCACAAATAGCTACTGAACCTACAGAAAATAAGAAACAAATAGTAATGAACTTCAACCAGAGAAGTCAGCCATAGCAGAGCATCTGATGAACCAACCTGGACATAGCATATTATTTGAGAACAAAGAAATGCTGGACCACTCTAACAACTACCATGTCAGGCTACACAGAGAAGCTATTGAAATCCACAAACATTAAATGAACAAAATCTGGCTACCAGTATTAAAAACTCTAAAATTATAACAGTAAATAAAGAACAAAACTCAAACACAGGGGAACTCCAGACAAGAAGCAAACAGGAACAGCTAATCACCTCTCAACAAAGGATTCCCCCCCCTCCCCCAGGCAGTAACAAGCCACACCTAAAAACTGTCAGGCCATCAAATGCTAATTAAGGTGACCAGTTGAAACATTCACACCTAGTTCCAACAAGAGTTCTTTCTCCCACCCTGGACTTTCCACAGATATATAAACCTAATTTTCCTAGTGTCCAACAGACCTCACAACCTCTGAGAATGCCTGCCATGATGCAGGCGAAGCGTCAGGAGAGAATGCTTCTAGAAGATGGCCATACAGCCCAAAAAAACTACAGCAACCCAGTAATGAATTTGCAGAAGAATGTAAGAGATGATCTAAAGCTGGTGGGCGATGAAGCAAGAACCAGCACATACAGTCTATTTACTTTCTAGTAGAGAAGATCACATAGCCAGAAATGTACAGCATAGAACTTTATAAAGATGCACTGAAAGCAGGTCAGAATATCAGACACATTGCACAAGGGCAAAGAATTTCCTTTGGTCTGAGCTCAAGTTCAAATTCTGAGAAGGTCTTTGGGATGTATCCCAACAGTGGGCAGGACCAAAGACAAAATCCCAGGATATTTCAACTTAAAATTCTTAACTCAAGCTTAAGCAGAAAAAAATCAAGCATGTCTCATTCTGAAAGGCTGAAATGCTGTTGTGGCCAATTTGAAAACTCAATTGGGCTGTATTCCATTTCAGATCCTGACATACCTACTCCTTACATCTAATAGGTTTCGGTATACTTCTCTTATACCACATATGTCAAACACAATCTGTGGGCCAAATATGCCCCCCCCCCCAATGTATTTTTATATGGCCCTCCAGATGCTGGACTACAACTCCTGTATTCTTCATCATTAGACATCATGACTAGAGCCAATGAAACATTATCATGGAACATTATAATGACGAGAGTTGGGATACACCTGGAAGGTGGCAGTTTGTTCTGTTTAGTCAGGAAAGTGGGGTTTGAATTTAGATACAAGGATAGGATGTCTGAATTTAAACTATCCTTTCACCTTTCCCCATCCTTAGGGCTGAACATGCTGGTGGGTTGCCATTCCCATTATCCCCAGATAATAAAAAGCAATGGAAGTGGTCATTCAAGAGCATGTGGGGACCCAAACTGGGTTAAAAGTAAGTTATACTACTTAATATGTTATGAGTATATTTTGTGAAAAGTGGATAAATAGAATACCTATATGAGAAGTATTACACTACTCTATACCATACACCCTCTTTCCTGTCTACTTAAAAGTAAAGACCACCAACTGCTCTGTAAAAAAATGTAGTTGACCCTTTCTCTGTCTCCACGAATTCTTCATCCATGGATTCAATGACTCTTTGAAGGCAGTTATAAGACTGAAGTGGCCCTCCATGAAAATAAGTTTGACAACGTGCCTCAAAGGGATTGTTCATCTTGTTTCTGTTATACCCTGCAAGTTCTTTCTACTCTCCAACAAACTTTACCTGAAAGTTAGCAGTCCAAACTACTTGAAACAAACCACTTGTAGTAGATTTCTGCTTCCTATCAAAGGCAAAAAGATGGGATGCACAAAAACAGAACATTTGAGCTTAAAGCTTTTACTGCCAATAACAGAGACCTTGGAGAAAGTGTATGTACAAAAGTTGGGAAACCAAACATTGGCATCATAGGGATGGAGAGATCACCAGAATTGGCCCTAATCCCCAGGATCCATGATTCCTAATGAAGTATCTTCCATCTCATGTACTGACCATGTTCCAGTGCACGCTGGCAAGTAGTGAAGGCTCCCTATGGTTTCTGCCATAGGCTGCATGCATTGAGCTATTGATGGACTGCTCAACAGCTCTCACAGTTAGGAAGTTCTTACTCATGTTCAGGTGGAATCTCCTTTCCTGTAGGTTGAAGACATTGTTCCGCATCCTAGTCTTCTGCTGCCCTGGAGACTAGGACGCAGAACAATGGCTTCAAACTACAGGAAAGGAGATGAACATGAGGAAGAACTTCCTAACTGAGAGCTGTTCAGCAGTGGAACTCTCTGCCCCGGAGTGTGGTCGAGGCTCCTTCTTTGGAGGCAGTTAAACAGAGGCTGGATGGCCATCTGTCAGGGGTGCTTTAATGCAATTTTCCTGCTTCTTGGCAGGAGGTTGGACTGGAAGGCCTACGAGGTCTCCTCCAGCTCTATGATTCTATGGTATGCACTTATTAAATCTACACAACTAGAGGTTCTACATATACCACCTACATGCCAAGTTCATGCCCAGGGGTTTTGTTTAAAGGGAAGGAGATTGTCCTTTTCTTTTTAAAAAAACATACCATACACACATTTACACATACGTTTTAAATTTTGCACACTGCTTGAAAGCATCTCCTCCCCAGCAAAAATGATATTAAGCAGTAAGAGATGTTTTGCATGCATCCAAATTTGTTTTGCACCTTTCAAACATATATATTGGAGACAGGAGGTGCATCCCATAGCTTTCCATCAACAGTGTTAGGACTCGGGAGTACAAATTATATCTACTCCATGAACAGTGCATTATAATCCCAATTACTGTGCTTGTTTTAAACATTACACTGTTTGAAGGTGTTCAGGAGATTTGCTTAAATACACTCCTATGATCTTGTGGGTTTTTTCGGGCTATAGAGCCATGTTCTAGAGGCTTTTCTCCTGACATTTCGCCTGCATCTATGGCAAGCATCCTCAGAGGTAGTGACGTCTGTTAGAATTAGGACAATGGGTTTATAAATCTGTGGAATGGCTGGGGTGGGGCAAAGAGCTTTTCTCTGCTGGAGCTAGGTGTGAATGTTTCAACTGACCACCTTCATTAGCATTTGAAGGCCTGGCTGAGCCTGGGAAAATGTTCTGTTGAGAGGTGTTAAGATGTGCCTGGTTGTTTCCTCTCTGCTGTTTTGCTGTTGTAATTTTAGAGTTTTTTAATACTGGTAGCCAGATTTTGTTCATTTTCAGTGGTTCCCTTGATGTATGGCAGGAACACTTTTCCTCTGGGTGGATCTTCATCTTGACTCTCGTGGCTTGTTCTTGGTCTTGCAGCTCTTCTGATGTCTGAGGTGGAGTCTCCATTGGCCTGGAGAGCCCAGTTGAGGTGGTTCAGTTCATCTTGGAGGAGGATTTTCCCAGACTCAGCCAGGCCTTCAAATGCTAATGAAGGTGGTCAGTTGAAACATTCACACCTAGCTCCAGCAGAGAAGAGCTCTTTGCCCCACCCCAGCCATTCCACAGATATATAAACCCATTGTCCTAATTCCAACAGACCACTACCTCTGAGGATGCTTGCCATAGATGCAGGCGAAACGTCAGGAGAAATACCTCTAGAACATGGCTCTATAGCCCAAAAAAACCCACAAGAACCTAGTGATTCCAGCCATGAAAGCCTTCAACAATACACTCCTATGACATTTTAAAAGTAGTAAGTATGCAAGACGACTATGACTATTTTTGCCATAATGCTAAAAAACCAGTATAAATCCAGGGAGAAGAATGGTAGCAATGAGAGAGTTCTTTGCATCCCAGTAGACTTATGCTTCTAGCAGTACTTGGGAGCACCCTAAATTCCTCCAGAATCATCCTGGTTTTTGTTTTTGTTGTTTTTGTTTTTGTTGTGTCAGGAGCGACCTGAGAAACTGCAAGTCGCTTCTGGTGTGAGAGAATTGGCCGTCTGCGAGGACGTTGCCCAGGGGACGCCTGGATGATTTCGTGTTTTTATCATCCTTGTGGGAGGCTTCTCTCATGTCCCCGCATGAGGAGCTGGAGCTGATAGAGGGAGCTCATCCGTCTCTCCCCGGATGTGAACTTGCGACCTGTTGGTCTTCAATCCTGCCAGCACAGGGGTTTAACCCACTGCGCCACCGGTGAAAGATAGCTTTGCACGCTTCCAGTCACTTCAATCTGCTCTTAGGGTTTCTGCATAAGCCTGTACTGCCTACGTTTTCACAAAATGTACCTTTCAATGCTTGCTTAAGAGCACACTTATCACAATATATGGACTTCTAAATGGATTTTGTACTAAGATGTGTGTTTTAATATATTTTTGAATTTTTCTTGAGCTAAAAATGGCACAGCAAAAGTTAGGAAACCTCAAAATCCAAATAATATACATGTAGATTACTCCACTGTAGATGAATTCCAGAGTTACAGAATGCATTGCCTGGTATCAGGAAATGAAAATACTCAGTCCTCTGGCATCACTTCTTTGAAAGTATCCTCCGCCTCGTCTTACCATCATTGGTATGTTCCATGCCATGTACACATGAGACTTGAAATCATCCATCCAGACTTCGGCAGCACGCAAGGCATTGCGCTTTGCATAGTAGTCAATGTCATTGTTGTAGGGTTTCTTTGTGCGCTCAATATGGGCCACTCGGGAACAAGGTAACACCTCCATACTTCCTCCGCACTGCCAAACCTATGAGGAACAAAACAAGGGAGCAACGGAGTTATGATAGCTTACTGTATTTTAGTTGGACACATATTCTTTGCATGCAGAAGGCTTGAGACTACATTCTGAGGTCACTTGTTACAAGGATCGAGAGGAGCCCGGAGAGCCACTGTGAATCAGAGTAGTACCCACTTTAGAAAGAATCCCATTCATCATGAACTCCCTTCTCTTTTAGTACTCCTGACCATAGGAGCACACCCAGTTATTTTCATGAGTTTACTGAAGTCAGCTCTCTTAAAGTTCAGAGTCTGACTATGCATTTGTTCCCCTTTCTGCTATATAACAAACTCCAGGATAACATGATCACTCCCTTAAGGATCCTGCTGTCATTACCTATCCCTGGACTGCAACTCTCATCAGGCAACAGTTGGGGGTAACAGAACACCATCTGTGGGGACACATCCTCAAGGGACTAAAAGCTGTAGCAAAATATTCATGCACAGTATTTTTCTCAAGTGGAAGCATGGTGGTAGAAAATATATTTATAGCACTACAATCAATATCAAATACAGGGGTTGTGAAAATAGCCCTTCCATGGTGCATGTGTTACCCTCTAATGTTGCCCCCCTTTTTTAGCTGCTTTTTAAATGTCCAAGTTTTTCTCTCTCTTTCTCCAACATGCCTCCCTTTGTCCCCATCTTACTCCAATTGCTGCTGAATTCACACCTGTGAGCTCCATAATGATTTTTTCCCAGGGCTCCTAATGGCTCCTAAGCCCATTTTTGCCTTCAAAATTACTTTAACATTCTTTTTTTAGAAATCTGTTTAAATTGGAGTTTAAAAAGACCTCTCTGAATGCGGAATTTTTTTTAAAGGATATATTAATGCATGGACTGATTTGGAAATGCAACAAAGCCTTTGGATCAGAAAAAAATAGATGACAAGCATTTATTTTAAAAAGTTTTAGTTCTTCGCTCTTGCTATTTTATTCTTTGAGTTATGCCGCAAAGCAGCCTGCTGTTAGAATACAAACTGCCATATCTGCAAAATTTCATAAAACAATCTAGTGATTGTGAAAAGTAACATATGCACTCTGTACAGCAGAGAGGTAATAAATCTATATTATGCTCATTCATGCAGCAGTATTTATCTTTGTTTTCAGTGTACCTACGTTCACTGGAAATTTCATTACCAGAATGATACAGTCACACGTGGTGGGAATATAAATTAGTGTTTTGCCTGAAGGAACACCATTGATTATGAATGATGCTCCTTGATGCTTCTATGCATCAGTCACTTAAATCAGAACATTACAGCCTGGTGTGCGCTACAATCCTTTGAATTTGCTGAAATACTAGTCCATACTGGGATGGGTACCACAGAACCAGTCCACTAACACAGCAGTTCTTAACTTGGGGGTTACAACCTCTAGAGGGGTTGATGGGCCATCATGTAGTCACCGCCTTGGGCCCACCTCCTCCATCTCCCCAGAATGGGCAGCGTGGCAGAAAGGCCTCCCTGTGCTCCTGCTCCTCCTCCTCGGTTCAAGGACTGGCAGAGCAGCCCCAAAGCCTCATCGCGATAACACTGGGCCGGGCCCAATAGGGCACAGTGCAAGAGCAGCCTCAGCATGGGGCACTACAGCTCCTCCAGCAGCAAGGCCTGCTCCCCCGTCCTGCCAAGACCACCCTGATGTTGGACAAGGCCTCCAAGCATGTGCCGCAGGACCCTTCCACCTTCAGAGTCACCACAGGCCAAAACAGCGCCTGACCCAGCTCTACCACCTTGCTGGTTCCTGGTGGCCCCTGCCATGCTGTCCTTGCTATGCTGCTGCCAGACCCATTGCTATGCCAGTGAGTGGGTAAACTATAACTCCCAATGTCTGAGGTCAGTCCCCTTGAAACCCCACCAGTATTCAAAGTTTGGCATGTTGGGTATGTGAGGCAAGTTTACTAGTTCCATCCCCAGTTTGGTACAGAGTGCTCTCTAAGTGATGGTGAACCCTAACTCCCAGAATTCAAAAACAGCCCCCCAACTCCACCAGTATTCAATGTTGGCCATGTAGCTGGTGTGCTCAGTTTGGTGCAGATCCATTGTGGGCTGGGTTCAGAGTGCTATTTGGTTGTAGGTTAACTACAAATACAACTCCCAAATGACAAAATCAACCCCCCCCCCAACCTTACCAGTATTAAAATTTCAGTGTATCAGGTATTTGTGCCAAATTTGGTCCAGATCCATAGTTGTTTGGGTTCACAGTGCTCTCTGGGTATAGGTGAACTACATCTTCTCTAAATCACTGTCAGTTCATCCCAAATCCTTCCAGTATTTTCTGTGTGGAAAGTTTGGCCCAATTCTATCATTGGTGGGGTTCAAAGGGCTCTTTGATTGTAGAGGAACTATACATTCCAGCAACTACAATTCCCAAATGTCAAGGTCTATTTCCCCCAAACTCCAGCAGTGTTCACATTTGGACATATTGAGTATTCGTGCCAAGTTTGGTCCGGATCCATAATTGTTTGAGTCCGCAGTGCTCTCTGGATGTAGGTGAGCTACATCTCCCTTAAATCACTGTCATTTCTTCCCAAACCCCTCCAGTATTTTCTGTTGGTTATGGGGGTCTGCATGCCAAGTTTGGTCCAGGTCTGTCATTCGTGGGGGTCTCAGTGGTCTATGGAAGTCAGAGCTGATTGAAGATACTGCAAATCCCATAATCTGTTGTCCATACTCCCCCAATCACATTGTTTTTGTGATTAATCACGATGCTTTAATTATGTTCAATCTGTAACAATGAAAATACATCCTGCATATCAGATATTTACATTATGATTCATAACAGCAGCAAAATTACAGTTATGCGGTAGCAACGAAAATAATTGTATAGTTGGGGGTCACCACACTTTGAGGAACTGTATTAAGGGGTTGCAGCATTAGGAAGGTTGAGAAACACTGCACTAACACAATGTGTCTACCTCTTTGCATAGTGTAAGGATATAACACTGTGTAAATTTTGCTGTGTTTATTCAAATTCCCCCCCTTCATCCTTTTATTTTTACTTATGGACCCACCTCCAAGACTCTATCCTTGGAAGACAATCATTCTCGACTACAAGTGATAGCCTATGATAACTACAGACAAGGGACTTGCTCATCCATAGTAATAGATGAGAAAATGAAGGTGTCTCATCTCATAACTGTGACATAGCACAAATAACTGGAGTGGGGGCTATCAGCCTTGAAAGGTTTTTATGCATTTTCAACATTAATTTTCCTCCTTTTTTGCACATGTTGCAGAAAACACAGCAGAGGAAAGTGCTTGGCAACTCATTTTTTCAGTTTCTGTGAGATGTTTCAGATCCTTACTGCAAGGAAATAGACAATGGAGGTTCTGTTTTCCCTACTTGGAGTACTGCAGCAACTCTGCAAAGATCATCAAGATAAGCAAGTGCAGCTGAAAATTATTTCCAGAAGCATGCAAAATCTGTATTGTAAATATATGACTGGAATGCTGACTCTGTAAACCATAGAATCATGCTGGAGGACCTAGAGATGGGAGTGAGGAATCATTTTATTCTAAGCGCCTATCTACTCAGTTTATTCTTATCTGATGAACAGAATGAAATGCATTCACTCTGGGGAGAAATCCACTTACCCCATACTCACATATTGGATTCTCAGAGTAGCCTCTGTTGGTGTTCATTTCACAACAGAAAAAATTTGGATCCTTCACAGTTCAGGAAATTTCAGTGTATGGAGCAGACAGCCCTTCCTAACAAGCTGCCCTTTCCCTCTTCAGCTAGAGCAGTGGTTCCCAACCTGTGGTCCATGGACCACCAGTGGTCCGCAAGAAGTAAAATATGGAGCGCGGCATCACCATTACTATGCTGTTGGACCGAGAGTGACTGGTCTCGCGAAACCCTCTTATAGTGCCAAGTCTTAATAAATATGGTTTTCTGTGGCCGAGCAGATGGCAACTACTGGATGGCATATGTTCTGTATCAGAAACTAATGCTGATGTAGTCTATCCAATGCAATTTTCTGAATCAGCACCCCAAATAGCCAAACCAAATCTAAAGTTGACCAAAAACTGATCCGTAACCCTTTTGATACTAATGTTGGAGAGTGCTCCCTGGTCAAAGTGGACCCTGGTCGAGTGGTCCCTTGTCGAAAAAAGGTTGGGAACCACTGAACTAGAGGAATGTTTTTAGAATAGCCAGCCATTGGGGATGTTTAGTAATTCCCTAGCGAGCAACAGAGGACTCAGAAGAAAGTCTGAAGAATAAAAGGAGTTTAGCTATCCTTTCCCCCCTTTATAACTATGGGTCTGGATTAATTTCCCCTTATTGATTTAGATCCTTTCTGATTTATATTGAAGATGTAATATGGAAACCTGGACTCTCGAGAAAGGAGATTTGAAAATTGCAGGAAGGAACATCAACAGTTTTAAATACATGGATGACAAAATAGTAGCGGAAAATAGCAAAAATTGAGGATGATTGTAAAGAAAATCAAGTACAAAAGCAGAGTTACAGTTGAACATTAAGAAAACAAAAACAACAACCACAGATGATTTACACAACTTTAAAGTAGATGATGAAGACACTGAAGTAGTCAAAGATTTTCTACATTTTGAGTCAGTCTTTAATCATGGAAACTACAGCCAAGAAATCAGAAGAAAACTAAGAATTGGAACAACAGCTATGAAGGACCTAGAGAAGATCCTCAAGTATAGGAAATCAAATTCGGGATTGTCTATACAATAGTCTTTCTAGTTATGGCTGTGAAAGCTGGACAGCAAAGGAAACTGACAGGAGAAAAATGAACTCATTTGAAATTTAATACTGGAGAAGCATTCTACAGATACTATGAACTGCTGAAAAGACAAATCAAATCCTAGAAGCCAAAATGACAAAGCTGCGGCTGTTGTACTTTGGACATATCATGAGGCATCAAGGCTCATTAGAAAAGCAAAGTGAATTGTAATAGAAAAAGAGATGGATAGACTCAACCAAGGTAGCTAGAGCTGTGAGTTTGCAGGACGTGAGCAGGGCTGTGGATGACAAGGCATCTTGGAGGTCAATAGGTCAAAGCACACTTGACAGCAAACAACAACAAAGCCAATGACATATTACTTACCCTCATCCCAAGCTCAATGTTTTCTCCTCCGTACACTTCCATCCCAGGGTCAAGCAGCCCGATCTCACCAAAGTATTCTCTGTCTACCACAAATGAACAACCAATCATGGCTGGCGTTCTGTTGATACCGGAAAGAAGGATAAGAATTTAAGCACAGTGTCTTTGAGGCAATAAAATAGTATGTCCAAAATTGTACATCACAGTCTGCATTGTGCATTTTACGAATCATTAGCTATATTGCAGAGACATAATAAAACCTTGTTTGTGAATTGTGAAGATGCATATCAAGCACCAGGAAGAGTGCTCCCATGTGCATCAGGCTCTTTTGATGCACAGTAGGTGCTTCAGGTGCACATTGGGCAATTCCGATGTGCATTCTGTGCCATATATACTCATGTATAAGTCGACTTCATGTATCTGAAGTGCTTCATGTATAAGTCTAGGGCAGGTTTGGGGCGGGGGGAGGCAAAATTATAGTCTCTATCTACAGTGTAAATAACCTGTCTATTTTTTGCATTTTTAATTTATTTATAGAAGTATCCATCAAAATGTATAAGTATACATTCTTTCCTCTTTCTACAATATCTTAAACAATGGAGTATGACATATACTCCATTGAAAAAAAGAACTTGAAGCAAAATTTAATGGAAGAGGTTTAATGAAAGGAAAAGACTGGGACCTAAAAATGGTAAATCTGGAAAGGATAAAAGAGGAATCAAGAGGAAGTGACTTAGATTGATATAAGTATCTACAACTGGATAAATGGTCAAGTGATATAAGGAAAAAGTATAATGGAGCAGGGAATATATGAAAATAGAAAAGATGATAACTCAAAAGGAGATTAAAGAAGAGAATGTAACATTCAAAGGTACAATAAGCGATATCTATAAACTATTACTAATGGATGAACAGGAACAAGTTCACTTGAAGGAAGTATGGGAAGTAGACTTGGGGAAAAATTGACTAATCAAGAATGGGCAAGGATATGGAGTATGAGATTATTAAAAAATATGTCTATAAGAATTAAGGAAAATTACTATAAAATGGTATGGAGGTGGTATCTACCTCCCATTAGATTAAATCAGATTGATTAAAAAATTCAAATCAGTGTTGAAGAGGCTGTCAGGAAATAGGGACATATCTTCAGATGTGGTGGTCATGTAAAATTATACACACATTTTGGGAAAGGATATTTAAAGAAATAAGAGCAATAGTAAAATAGATATTACACCAAAGTCAGCATTATTACTTATGCATGATAATACAATTCCCTCACAAGAGGAGAAAGAATTGGTTTCCAATTTAATAACAGCAGCAAAATTCCTAATAGTAAAAAACTGGGGGGGGGGGGAGGAGGGGGTTTGAGGAAATTCAATTAGAAGAATAGTACAGGGAAATTTGGAATATAGCTATTAATGATAAGCTAATGTGCAATATTAAAATAAAAAGGGATATGGAAACAAACTGTTTTTTGGAAAAGATGGGGAAAATTTATTGAGTATATCTTTAATGAGAGAAATGGGTACAAGCCAGCAACAGAAGAAATGACATTTTGGACTTGTGAAATAACATGAATAGGTTGGTCCTGGTGAAGGGGGCACAAAATAAGGGTAAGGGGAAGAGGGGAGAAAATAAAGAAATGAAATGTGTATAAGTGTGTAGTTGAGGTATATGTAGTATAAGTTGTAATGGAAAGTTTAAAAAATGATTAAAAAAAATATGCCTAAAGATGTTTTTGATCTTTTTTCTTTGTTTACTGTTGGACTGTGTATATAATAACCTGTCTACTGAAGTTTTATCTTGTACACTTTGCATTGCTTGGCTCATGTACAGGAAATGGACTGTATTTAATATTGATGGCTCTCTGCGTGCCATTTCATTGTCCCTATTGATTGGATTTTATCAGAGTGTTGAGCCTGGACAGAAGTTTTGATTATACTGTAAGGATTCTTTGCAGTTTTCTGTTACTCGGCACCATATCAATGCACCTTGTGGCGTGATATCACTTTCACAGTCAATACCTGGAAAGAAAATAAAAGAGGTCTCCAGGAAAAAGAGAAAGAAAATCTGCCTCTCAATCCCATTTTGCACATAGATTAAACCTCTCCAATTGAATAAAAAAATCTTATTGTATGTTTTAATGCAAGACCAAGGCTGTGCTAGGAGAAGAGGGAGTACTTTGAGAAGGGTCTCCATAGATCGTTTCTGAAATTTGACATCAGTTTGTATTTAAAAGAGTCAAGTTATTGATTTCAGACCTAGCTGTGGTTTGGAAAGGGATTTAAATCACCTCTATTATATAATGCTCAGTTTTTCCTTCATTCTATTACAAATGAGACAGTTATATGTCAGGGATACTTAAGAGGTCGGTCCCCCCCCCCCCCCCCCCCCCCCCCCATGCCTCCATACTGTATGTGCTCTCTTGAATATCTGAAGTTCTCCTCCATGTACTCCATGTGCTTCCTTTAAGTAAAACAGTGGGAATAATCTTCCGAGGAGAGCAATTATCAATCTTGATAAAATAGTTACGAGTAGAGACATCACACTGGCAATGAAGATCTGCATAGTGAAAGCAATGGTTTCCCTGTAGTAACCTATGGATGCAAGAACTGGACCATAAGGAAGGCAGAGCGAAAGAAGATAGATGCTTTTGAACTGTGGTGTTGGAGGAAAGTTCTGAGAGTGCCTTGGACCGCCAGAAGATCCAACCAGTCCATACTTCAGGAAATAAAGCCCGGCTGCTCACTGGAGGGAAAAATATTAGAGGCAAAGATGAAGTACTTTGGCCACATCATGAGAAGAAAGGAAAGCTTAGAGAAGACAATGATGCTGAGGAAAAAGGAAGGAAAAAGGAAGAGGGGCCGACCAAGGGCAAGATGAATGGAAGGTATCTTTTTTTAAAAAAATATCTTTATTGAAATTTTCCTTGTTACATGTTTAAAAGATAGGAGAAAGAGAGAAATAAAAAAGGTATAGCGAGTAAAAAGAGGTATAGAAGAGAGATTGGGAGAAAGATGGGAAGGGACGGGAGTGGGGAGAAGGGAGGGGAATATAAGATGTGATAGAAAATAGAGTGTGGGGTTTTTTAAAAATCACGAACATGAAGATTGAGGAATTCCCCTTCGTTCGGTCTGACTTCCAGGTGATGTTGAAGAGGATTCCTTTTCCCTCTTTCCTTCATATCTAATCCTTCTTCTTGTTTTCATCCTATTCCTTCTTGGCAGTGTTTCTCTCTTTCTTCCTATCCCTTCCATCCGAAGTATTCGCTTATTAATGTCCAGTCCATTTCTTTTTCTGCAAATCCTTTACCTTTTTGTACTAAAAAGCTTAATCTGTCCATATTCCTTATGTCTATGAGGTTGGCTTCCCATTCTTCTATGTCCGGCGTCTCCTTCTTTCTTCATTTTTTGGCAAAGCAAATTCTTGCCGCAGTCGTGGCTAAGAATAAAAGCTTGTCTGTATTTTGGTTGATTTTTTCATCTGTGAGACCTAACAGAAAGATTTCTGATTTCAATGGGATATTTATCTTCAATATTTTCTGTAATTTTTTCTGTATTTTTTTCCAGTAGGTTTTGGCTTTGCTGCAATGCCACCACATGTGGTAGTATGATCCTTCTATTTCACCACATTTCCAACATTTTGTGTTAAAATTCTTATAGTATGTTCCTAATTTCTTTGGCGTCATGTGCCATCTGTAGAACATTTTCAGCCAGTTTTCCTTCGAATTATATGCCTTTATGTATTTCATTTTCTTAGTCCATATTTTTCCCATTCTGTTAATGAAATCGATCTCCCGGCGTTTCTTGCCCATCTTACCATCCCATCTTTAACTCTTTCTTCTTCTGTGCTCCAGTCGAGTAGTCTTTTGTATGTCACTGAGATCGTTTTTCTTTGTGTTTTAATTATTTTATCCCAGTTGTTCTCTTCCGTCATAAATCCTAGTTCTTTATCCTTATTATAGTACTCTTGAATCTGCCTGTATTGGAGCCATGTCATGTTTGTATAGACCTGTTTTATTTCCTGTTGCGATTTCAATGGATGGTATCTTTGAAGTGACTTGCTTGTCTCTGAAGGAACTGGGAGAGGTGACGGCCGACAGGGAGCTCTGGCGTGGGCTGGTCCATGAGGTCACGAAGAGTCGGAAGCGACTGAACTAATGAACAACAACAACAACAAATTACTTGGAGAAGACAATGATGCTGGGGGAAATGGAAGGAAAAAGGAAGAGGGACCGACCAAGGGCAAGTTGGATAGATAGTATCCTTGAAGTGACTGGCTCGACTTTGAAGGAGCTGCGGGTGGCCAGGGCCCCCAGGGAGCTCTGGTATGGGCTGGTCCATGAGGTCATGAAGAGTAGGAAACGACTGAACGAATGAACAACAACAACAGTATTCCCATATGAGTGCCTTGACTCTGTAAATAGTACCTAACTGTAAGTTTATGGGGTGTCTTTTGACTCCATATTAACGTGGAAAGTGTACATTCTTTCTTTGATTCAAAAAAATAAGATCAGATTGAATTTGTTGAAGACTGTATCTGGGAATAAATGGGAAGCAGATGAGAACAACAACAACACTACCATCTCCCCAAGGGACTCGGTGCGGCTTACATGAGGCCGAGCCCAAACACAACAATACAAGCAATAATAACAACGATACAGCAGTTAAAATAAAAACATAGACAGTAAAAATGCACATTATCAATAAGACAACACACAATTAAAACCACTGGAAGGTCAAATGTAAAGTTAAAATTACAAAGTGCTGGAGCATGGACGAAAGGTGATAGTAGTGTTTGTGGAAGGGCATACGAGCAGACCTAAAAATGTAAAGTGCTTTAGAGGACAAAGTGCTATGGGATCATTATTCCAGGAAGGCACACTGGAACAGCCATGTCTTCAAGCTCCTCCTAAAGACTGCGAATGTCCTGTCTGATGTCCTTAGGGAGTGAGTTCCAGAGTCGAGGGGCCACCACTGAAAAGGTCCTTTCCCTCGTCCCCACCAACCGCGCCTGCGATGCTGGTGGGATCGAGAGCAGGGCCTCTCCAGATGATCGAAGAGATCGTGTGGGTTCGTATACAGAGATGCGGTCACACAGGTAGGCGGGTCCCAAACCATT